ATTTTTTTAGTGATTACACAAGGTAAGCTCACCAGATATTATTCTGTTTATAGAACATAAAGTAATTTTCAACTTACTATTAGTTATAAGTACAATCCAAAATATGGAAGTTGTGAACGGTTTTAAATTTCTAACTAAGAACTGCTAAACTCACCACCTTAGGATATCTAAGCTCACGTGATATTTACATATCACACATTCCACACTGGAAACTAAGTACATTTAATGCACAAAAACCAACAGTTTAAATCTTATTTTTTCATATTTCATTAGGTTTTTAAGGTATGTCTAATAAGTGAGCGATTTGCAATTGAGTTCTTAGTCACTAGTACTCTAATACTCTTGAAACCAGAACAGTAAACAGAACGTGGGTAGTATGAAAGCAAGATGATTTTAAAGATTAGTTTATATTAAGAAAATAAAACTATTGACGAGATCATAAAAACATCTGAAAGACGCACTGGTATTCAATAAAAATTTTAGCAATTATTCATTCAGAATAAAGAAATTTTATGATTCATGGTTTTCCAGAATTTTCTAAAGATTCTTGTTTACACAAACTATTTCCAGGAAATTCCCGGATTCAAAACACATTTTCGAGGAATTATCAAAATCTAAATGTCCATTAAGCCTGTTATTCTTGCTTCACTAGTAGCAACTAAGCTCGGTTCCTATTCTACCCAGTTCGTAAATTTAATATTTCTGTTATGTCCCGACGAGAATTATGAATGGTAACTTTTGAGAACTATTTGTGGGTCAGTACGATACACATATTTTTATTGTGTAATTATTAGCCCCCAAATGCCCTGGTACGGCCGAGAGTGGGGAGAGTCCGCTCTCCCTCTAGAAATACTCTCATACGGCCACGCGTATATAGCCTCTGCCAGGGCAGTCTTACTCACTGCCTTCTCGTGGCGGGGGTGTTGTTTACGAAAATGAGAGGACGAAAAGCGAATGTCCGGCGCTTTAACCGGATTCCAAACCAATGGTGCACATGGGTTCCAGTATCCTGCGGGAACAAATGGCGAATGAACCAATTGTTGGTCACCGGCTTCCATGAGACTGCATCTTCTTACGATGCTCCACTGCCTTGTGGATCAGACCTTCAGGCCGAAGGCTCGGGCTGTGGCCCCTTAAGGAAACCACCTGCTTCGTTTTGGGCACCCGGGCAGTATCACAGCCCTCACACATATCGAATGAGATTTGTGTGGCGCATATGTATTTGGTGCCTCTTTGTTCCATTATCTATGTGTTGAAATAAATAAATGTGTAATTATTAAGTAACTAAGCTATGTATATTCATGTTCCTCTCATTATAAGCTTTATTTGACCTTTAGTCTATTATTATACGATTTATGATTCTTGAGCTATGCCCAGTCTATTAATTACAGTCTCCAACATTCACAACCACTTTTGGCTAGATCTTGTACAAATGTTATTTCCTATTTTGTGGTGCGATGTGGTCTATTTGGTTTGTATATAAACCCGATATGTTTGAAATACATGATTCATGCCGTGGAGTCTGAGATTGGTGTTCTTGACTTAACAGGCAGGGCTAAACAGGAAGACCGATAAAGACTCTAAAATGCTCGTACGGGTCCATACGTCATTGGTCCGATCAATAAGCCAGTGTTGTCTCATTGGCGGTATCACCACGTTATATATTAATAGGGCGCAAGTAATAACAATTTCTCATAAGCCTTATATCATCAGGTGAATAATTATCTCATATAATATTATAACTTTTTCATTTTCAGATATGTTTTATTTTAAAATCTAGAGAACCTAACAAGTAAGATTATCATCATCCTTTCTTTAATATCCGATAAACGTGCAGTAACGATTATTTTACCGTTCATCTAGTAGGTGAGTGTTACACATTAATTTAATTTACACTTAAAGTTTCATTTCGAATAATCCAGTTACTGTGTTATGTAAACACATCATTTCAATATAGCCTAACATCGTGGATAGTTAACAAAAAATATAGTGAGTTATATATTTGAAATGAAACCATTAATAAGAATTACACTTATCCAATAAATGCTAAACATTAAACACTTATTGTAAACTGTAGATAACCTCGACCAAGATAAATAACGAATAAGTGATCAAATTTATAGTTGAAAATACACTTTTATTGTCGCTTACACGTTCTAACTATTCATTTAGTGATAGGATGATATACATATATTATATAATGTTTTAATTTTACTGACCAAAATGTATATGTTATTAGTAGTTGCGGTGGACAAGATTGGAACGATTCGAATGATGCCATTGAACTATTGATGAATACATTTCGGAATTTCAATATATGATGTTGCTGGACACTCACAGTCAGTTAACAAGGCAGGTACGTAGAAGGTTGTATACTATTTCCATGAGAATAACTTGGCTTCCTCAGAATATCGATCTTCTCTAAAAATGAACGCATCACGATTACACTATCCAGCTTACAAAGTACATGTTATGACCTTGATGTCTGGTCTTTCTACCACGCGAATCATCCACCAATCAGAATACGACTTATACAAATCTTCACTCTGTACCAACCAGTGGCGTTCAACCGGTGTGGGCAGTCTAGCACCTTGTTGGTCCGAGGTCCTTTTAGCCCGTCTGTTTGAGTCCAAAAAAAAAACAATAGCAGCTTCCGCAATATGAATTATGTATTTCAAACATACTCTGTTTACATACCAATCAGCCAGACCACAACGTACCATAAAATAGAAAATAACATGTGTACACAAATAAGCCAAAAAGTGGCTGTGAACGCGGGAGATAGTAATTAATAGACTGAACATAGATTAAGAACCGTAAATCGTATAGTAATAAATTATAGGTCGAAATAAAGCTTATAATAAGGGGAATATAAATACATATAATGTAATTATTGAAATAATTATACAATAAGAATATTTATAGAATATTAGTCTATTAACAGTCCTCGGAGGTTACCTGTAACTTAATCTTTGCTGGGTTATAACAGTACAACTTGACTTAAATCCTCATCCTAAGCTACAAATCTCTTCCATTATACCGAAAACCAGAAAAAACATTTAACATGAAGTCATGTGCCGTACAAATAACATTAAAATAACCGTGGCTTGAATTTGTTATTCTTAACTGCCATCATAATGATGAACAATTCTCCATACCTTCCTTCCCATTTTGCAGTCCTCAAAGCCTGTCTCTCAATAATATCGAGAATTTGAAAAATGGCATACTCGATAATTGTTGTTCTAAGAATATGAAAGTCAACAAATTGTGCAGTGATTACTTTTCAATAACATTGAGCTCTAATGACCACGTATCATTAAATTAAATCTAATCTCGAAACTGGTTACACGAGGAGATAATTAATTTCTCTGAATGTCACGTCTTAATGTATCTGTAAGAAAAAAGTGTGCCTAGATTATATGATGACATATGTCGGCATCGATACCAACCACTTTTTTTAATATTTATAACTGGACTCTAAAAATTTATCTTTAAGGGTAAAGAGAGAGAACCAGTTATTTTGATGTTACCCTTTTCAAACGCCCCTAATTTTAATTACCGACTGGCATAAAAAAAAACAATCGACTCGTTTACCTCAATGTATAATATTGATCACAGTCATATATGCATAAATTCTTTGTCTGATATTGAGTTGTTAGGTTAATTTGTTTTCTAGGGCCAATTACCATAGAGAGACCTTTACACACTTATTTAAACTAAGTTTTTGCTCAAAGGTCGTCATAATATTGAGTGGTTCAATACATTTATGAGGACATTAAGATGGTAGTAACTAAATAATTAATTAAGTGTAACTCACTTATCCGTTGCTTCCTTATACTCACTTTTTATGGATATATTGTCAAATTTTATGTATGAGGCCCAGTAATACTAAACGGGTCACCAAAACATTGGAAGTAAGGGAAGGCATTGATCTGCAACTTACTGGCTGAATTGCACTACAACGTTAAAGCTTATTCATCTCAATAACTAAGAAAAAAAATTTGTGCATTCAGCTTTGAGCTACAAATTTTGCGTGGGAGTTAATGATGATAACTTATTCTCCTTCCGTATCGAATCACATGGAGCAGTTCACGAGCTTAATTTGTTGGAGGAGTCTTGATACATCACATGGCTTTATAGAAGCCGGACAACTGATGAGCCGTCTCAAGACCTAACAATAGATGAGATACGTTATTGAAAGTAGATGATCATGCACCCGGTCAATGTAATTTTATTTATTTAAACACATAACCATTGGTACAAGGAGGCACCAAATAAATATGCGCCACATAAATCATTCGATTTGTGTGAGAGCTGGGATACTGCACGGGTGCCCGAACAGAAGCAGGTGGTTTTCTTAGTGGCCACACCCGGAGCCTTTGACCTAAGTTATGATCCATAAGGCAGTGGAGCGACGTCAACAGATGCAGTCCCATGGGAGCCGATGAACAGCGATTGGTTTGGAGTCAGGGGTTTTCCAACTCTTCTAGGTGGACTCTCCGTGTCCACCAACCCGGTTAAAGCGTTGGTTATTCGCTTTTCATCTTCTCAATTTCGTGAACAACACCTCCGGCCACGAGAAGGCAGTGAGTAAGACTTCCCTGGCAGTTTCATGCACGTGGGCATATAAGAGCATTTGGAGAGGGAGAGCTAACTCTCCCCACTCTCGGTTGTACCAGGCCATTCGAGGGCCATTTGTGTAATGGGTCTAGTCAACTGTAGTAAGTGTAACTAAATCAGACCACAGCACACAACAGAGCTTTTAATCGTTACTATCATCCTATCACATTGAATCAATTAATTTATCAGATAATGTATTAACAAATAAATTTTACTTTGATTTCTTCTAGAAAATTAAAACTTGATTAATGCATATATATCAGAAGGGGTTTGTGGAGATTTTAGAAATTTCACTGATTGAAATCATCAGTCATTTGAAGCTAGATCACCATGGAAAACCTGGAAGCACTGGACGGCCGTTTCGTCCTAGTATGGGACTCCTCAGCAGTGCGCATCCACCATCCCGCACCCCGCGAGATTCAAACCAAGGACCTATCAGTCTCACACCAGTCTTGCTTAACCAGCCAGACTACTGAGCCGGTATGCAGTGGTGTTAATGTCTAACTTCAACCAATCTATGAAGTTGCGCCACCGTACACCAATGTCTTTAGTGAGTTGATATTCGACAACATACCTGGTTGAATTCCACTGGCAACGGCTTCTCACTAGAACTCCAGGAGTATCTCTTGAAGTCAGTCACTAGTGAGCAGATGATTATTATCACACATAAAGAAAAATTAATCAATATTAGAAATCATAATGATTTAATCAATTATATTGACAGATAAGAAGAGATATAAGGAAAAATAATAAAAAACAACAACGCATTAAATCAATATTAATAGTTAAAGATTTAGTGCACAAAATAGATTATTGAATTTTGATCAATTGAAAACTAAACCATTAAAATTTAGGCTTAAATCAATATCTAATAAAAATAATGGAAGACAATTTTATATAATAGAAATAATATTGTATACAAAACTTAAGTATCACTTTTAATGAATGGAAATAGGATGTTCATAATAGATGTAAGTCACTTATATGGAGATGTTTCTTTTTTGTTTGTAAATGAGTATTTCACTAAGTTATGGATAAAGTAATTTGATTTTTTAATTTTAAAAAAAAATGGACATATTTGAACAAAGTTAAGTAAATTGACTGAGAGAAATAAATAAACAAATGAATATATTACTTTAGAATCATTTGTCATTATTCATCATTGATACCACATTTTAGATTCAATGGAATAGCACGTTCCATTTGTTTAGGTAAAGGAAGATTTAATTCATTCATAATTTTAACAAATTCAATTTTGGTTTTAGTTAATCTAAAAAAAAAATTGAAAAAAGAATATGAATATGAAAAAGAGAGTAGAATAGAACAGTTTTGAGATTTGAAATTGAAATTAATTGGATTGAATCATTATTATTGGATAATCTAAGGAACATTGATGTATGTTTGATCAAAGCGGATATTTAAGTTGACAATTAGTAAGAAATGAATACATTTTAAATGTTAAATTAGATTTACATAGATCTTTATAAAGTATAGAACGTTTACATGATAGATTGAATAAATTTTAAAACAAGGCAGTAAATTTCCATTGTAGCAGTAAATAGATCCTCCAAATAGATAGTTTTTTTTCTAGGTTTTCGACAATAATACTGAACTCATTAGTTTAACTGGACACATTTTAACTGAAGGTGATCAGTCATGCATCCGCACCAGGTCCCCATTAAGTAGGCCATCCTACGCATCTCTCGTAACAAGTAACTAGCTTAAGTCAGACGCTTCTCCACATATTGACAACCTTTCAAATATATCTTTGAACCCGCTTCATTCCTTTGGGAACATTCAGTCAAAAGAATGCTACGAACAAAAGCATTGTCAAACCCGGAATATACATGGTGTGCTCAATGTGATCTAGTATGCCAAACAATAAACTGTGAGTCTGCTTTTTGTCATAACATCATATATTTTTTTAAATATCATATTACTTTGTGTCTTAGGATTTTCCAGTCTATTTATATATGTTATCTTCATAAAGTCGGCAACCGTAGACGGTGGACATATCCGTGTTATACAGCACTGAAGTGATGAAGAAAGCCCGCCATCTCGTCTTCGTTGTCGTAGCACCAACGCCAATCAAGCTTAGATAGGAAGAGCTGTCTTAAGAGGCCGACGTAAGAAGTTCGTTGACTACTGACCTCCTTAATGCATAGCAATACTTTTATTCTTGAGCCGTGTTGCGATTCGGTATTGTGGAAGATTAGGAAACATCACTAGTAGACATACCAGGTGTAAATCACCTATTTAAATCGCGCGGTACTGCCTTCACTACTGAGAAGAATTGAGAACACGGGTCTGCCACACTGTGCTTGTGTAAGCAAGGATCTGCATAGCGGAACTAGGTTTCGATAATATCAGGCCAGAACTAGAGGTTTGTGTAAAATTAATGCAATGAGATGAGTACCTCAATGTGTAACAGATCACAACATAATGTGCATTATTCAGGGGATATAATCTTTCATACGGTTTCTTACTTATTTGTAAGTTTGAGTAAGAAAGAACAGAGAATGTAATACAACAATATGAATTCATTATATTTCACAGTTTCTAATTATCTGTATAAAACCCGGCACTAATCCTTAAAAAAGACTCAGGTATCCATTCTTCATAAGTTTTGAATAACCTTGAGTTGGAGATATAGAATAATCAGTGATGATGATTGTGGAAGAATCAACTATTGTTCAGGCGTTTGCTTACTTATAGGTCAAATATATAAATATTCTAGAAGAGAAAACTGGGGACAGGGAAACAGAATTTTTCCGCGAGATCGTAGATTAGTGCCATAAATTAAGTAATAGTTTAACCAATATAAACTAGGTGAATACAGCTCATAATAAAGAATAAGATAGTGGAAATCGTGATTAAGGTCATGGGAAAAAATCTCGCACAGTATATATATATATATATATATATAAACTTACCGAGGATTAAATGCCTTTTCCTCACCAACAGTAGTCATAGTGTTGCCTAAATAATCATGAGCAGGAAACAATGTATAATCATTTGGAAGACTAAAGATTTGTGAATAGACTGAATCATATAATGTCTCAGCTGAGCCTCCTTGAAAATCTGTTCTTCCACAACCACGAATTAAAAGTGTGTCACCAGTGAAAGCAACACCAGCGGAATGCAATACTAGCGTCATACAACCTGATGTATGCCCTATGAAGTTAATATAAGGCATTGATAATGGTAATAACAATGAAGTCAACATATAAGTTTAAAGAGCTACGTAATAAAAATGTCGTTCAGTTCTATTACAATTGCGAGTAATGCAATACATTATAGATTTTTAGAAAACGATGAACTGAAAATAAAAGTGAATTCTGTATATTTACTTCATTTAACCTTAGAAAGTTAAAAGGTGATCAACTACACAGTCACATGTTTCTCAAATAAAATTAAAGGTGACTTTAATACGAGCCTACCTGGAGTACTTCGACATTCTAATTCGAAATTTCCAAACTTAATAACATCTCCATGTTTTATTATCTTGTCAACTTTGATTCCATCATAATGCGACAACACACTGAAAGATCCAGGAATTCGCTTTAATAGCCCACTACCAGTTACGTGATCAGCATGCAAATGAGTATTTATTATCGGACCCAATTTAAGATTCAACTGAGATATCTAAATTACAATATATCAACAGAAATAGATGAAACATTTGCTACAGTAACAGTTGCGATTATTCTACTATAAATAAACACTAAAAACCTAAGATGGTTGCTTAGCAGTGCCCTGGTACGGCAGAGGGTGGGGAGAGTTATCTGTTTGTCTCCAAATGCTCTCATGCGTATACGGCCACTGTCAGGGAAGCCCTAATCGCTGCCTTGTCAGTCAGTCAGTCAGTCAGTAACAACGTAGAACTTCGTACGTACGTACATCAGTTCGAGTTGCCACACCACCTTAACACAGAGATGCAGTTTTCGATCCAAATCCCGTAGTGGTAGAGGTAGCAAGAGTGTAAGCAGTGATCGGGAAGATTAGGGTTTGGAGATGTTATTTAACGAGTATAATTCAGTGAAATAAATTTGGAAAGAGGAAAAAAGGGACATGAAGAATTCATAAGATTAGAATTTGGGAGAACACAAAGAGTGGATGCACCTGCGTCATTGCAAACGATTTTGAGCCATGCCTTGACGAGGAGAGGGTGTTGTTTACGAAATTGAGAGGACGAAAAGCGAATGTCCGGAGCTTTAACCAGGTTGATAGATATGGAGAATCCACCTAGAGGAGTTGGAAAACCCTGATTCCAAACCAATGTTGCACATGGGCTCCAGTATCCTGAAGGAATTAATGATGTATTAGCCAATCATTGGTTACCAGCTACCATGGGGCTGCATCTCCTGACGTTGCTTCACTGCCTCATGGATCAAACTTTAGGTCAACGGCTCCGGGTATGACCTGCTAAGAAAACCACCTGCTTCGGTCTGTACACCCGGGTAGTATCACAACCCATACACAAATCAAGTGATTTGTGTGGTGCATATATATTCGGTGCCCCTTTGTACCAATATTTGTGTCCAAATACATAAATAAATTTCCGGTAACTGTGGGAGAGATAAGCATTATATAACAGGAATTTGTTTTGCAATTTTAAAGATTGGATAATTGACAGTAAATGTCTCATCACTAAGCTTGATGAATTAAATAACACTAAGTTTATAAGAATATGAAGTAAATGTGTATGATTATTTACAGTACCTGTGTTTGTTTTTGTCTTACTGATGAGGATTTTTGAAAAGATTGGGCAAATTATTGTTTCGTATAAGTAAAATAGTTTATGGCACCGAAGTGCTTGGACGATATAATGGGTCTTAGGCAGTGAGAATTATTTTCAGGCAATTTTTATGTATTTTAAGTTGGGTCACGAAATTGGGGTAGTATTCGAATCTATAACTTGGTGATTGAAAGGATAATGCTTAGACCAATGAATTATAGCTAGATGGGGATGAGATTTGAAAATATCTGAATGAACGGCTGAGGATTTGTGAATTTAAATAGATAAAATTATGGGGTTTTAAGCCCTAAGTAATTAAATATTTTACCGAGAAAGAGAAACAATGCTAGAACAAAGTCGTCAGTTGCAAATTTGAACTCAGATATGTCTGTAATCAGTGATCGCAATCACCTGGACAGTAGAATGTCATGAAGTTAACCTTAAAAGAGAGGATAACTTTGGTTCGCTTTTAGCTAATGAGCATAAAGTATGTAAAATTATCTGACAAGCGAAAGTTACAACTATTTCGTCGGTAATGATCTCAAACGACAACTGGAGTACTGTAAAATCATTAGGTCAATGTTTGTGTTAGGTTGAAAAGACCACGCAGAAATTTGAGGTAGCTAACTCGAATGAGCATGATTGGATTATATTCCGGTTCTTGGTTAACTGAAAATTCTATATTGGTTGTACTGATAATGGGTAATAAGATCAAAAAAGACATCAACTTATGAAATAATTAGATCGTCAAGTTAATCTTGTGTGGCACCGTGACCTCAGGCAGTGTCGGGGAGATGATGATTCAGGTAAATCCACTTTATCTGACCACGACTAGCGAGCATCTTATTGTTTTGTTCCCTTTACTGTTTATTTTCAGTTTCTTCATTGTTTTGAAAACATAGTTTTATCGTTGTTTGTCTTTGCAGTTCTTAATGAAGTGTAATGGTTTTGACGAAAAATATACACTTTTATATAATCATGTCCACTGTTTAATCATTCATTTTATACGTACTAGTTGCTCATATCCACTAGCTTTAGTTTCTCTGTATATCGTGTTGTACAGGGTTTCATTGGAATGTTGAATGAAAATACGGTCATTGGAATCGGTACATCATTGTCTACGCCTTATTTTCATATCATTCAACTAATAAAGGATTATCTGAAAAAATGAGTGCATTTATGCTTATGCTCGTTGGCATTCTGTTTCGATACATATACCGACCACATATTCACTATTCGTCAGGTTCTAGAACACAGGCATACTTATCGGAGTCCGATAATTGTGGTATTTCTTGACTTAAAAGCAGCATTTGACTAGGTAGACCACGAGATTCTGTGGCAGTGTCTGTCCTTGAAAGGCGTACCCCAGAAGTACATAAACCTTGTAAAGGCTCTTTACTCGAACACTACTAGTCGAGTCGGAGCTTATGGCGAACTGTCATCTACTTTTGCAACCTCAAGTGGTGTCCGTCAAAACTGTCCACTTTCTCCATTTTTGTTTAAATTCACCATAGATCTACTGATGGAAATAACGCTCTCATCGACTGAATTCTCGGGCATTGATCTCCTACCAGGAGGTCCGCTTATCGACTTAGAATACGCAGATGATATAGTCCTGTTTGGTGAAGACGCTGATAAAATGCAGTCTTTTGGTAGCACTAAGCAACAATGCCAGAGTGTTTGGAATGCGCTTCTTTCCCTCTAAATGCAAGTTGTTGCTTCAGGACTGGTCTGTGTCAACACCTGAACTAAGGATAGAGAGTGAAGTAGTCGGACGCAAAGTCTAATGAGCCCTATTAGGTTTGTGTGACAAAATCTCAGCACGGATTCGAAAAGTTCGCTTGGCTTTTGCCAACTTGCGTCACCTATGGCGAAGGCGAGATATCCGTCTATCAATAAAAGGACGAGTATACTGTGCGGCAGTTCGTTCCGTTCCACTTTCCGGCTGCGAAACGTGGCCATTAAGAGTATAAGATATACGTAAGCGACAAGTATTTGACCACATATGCCTCAGAAATATTGCTGGCGTCTGCTGGGATCAACGGGTAAGTAATAGTGAGGTTAAACGCAGGGTATCAGGGAATGATGGTAGATCAGTTGATGAGGTTGTGAATCTTCATCGACTGAGATGGTTGGGCCACGTGTTACATATGCCCGAACACTGATTACCACGACGTGCAATGCTAACCGGTGCTGGAGATGGTTGGAAGAAAGTTAGGGGCGACCAAACCAAAACGTGGCATCAGTGCTTGAAGTCACTAACTTCTAGTCTGAGTCATGTTGGTAAATGCAGACTACTTGGTTGGGGTCCGTGTGACTATCGTAACCAATGGTTGGGACTCTTGATGACAGAATCGATCACAATGGCGTCGGTGTATACACTCTCTGTCTTCCCTTAAACTATGAGATTAAATTCAATTCATATCTTTCTTTCTATGAACTAATTCTTTCTTCATGTACTATATCCTTATTGCAATTTTTCTTTTATATATCACCACCTCTGAATTAACTAGTTTTATGAATCCGGTGTCCATGTTGTTGTGTTAATGAGGTATGGCAACTTGGACCGATGCATATATGTGTCTGGTCCTACGTTGTAGCTGACTGACAAATAAAAAGTAATTCAGTGAACACAGTTTTATTCACTAATTTAATCCACTCGAGTGGTTTTAGATTTAAGATACCCCTAACCACCTATATGACAAAAGGAGAATATGACCACATAACCACTTTTAGAAGTCAGGATTCCTGAAATTTGATGTTGTTAGGATTACCCAAAAATTTATTTATTATTTTACTTAAAAGTTAAGAATTACACCAACCTACAAGTTTTTTATCTCGTTCAACAGTTTCTAAAACAGGGTCGATAATAACAGCATCTTTGGTATGTGAGTCGGCCAGTAAGTAAGTGTATGTAGATGAAACCTTTTCAAATAATTGACGAAATATCAAAGGACCACCGGCAGAAAGTATAGGAACTTTGGATGACATCCTATAACATAATATAAATCTGTTCAATAAGACAGAGCATTTACCAATCAAAATAATTGAAAATCAAAACGAAAACACTAAGCTTTAAGGAGTATTATGTAAGTCTGAAAAACACACCAAAACTTTGTGAATGTGGATGAAAAACAGTGAAAGTCGGGAATTACAGGTAATTATAAATTCTACCAAAGGATGGTTAGATTTATTCCTACCAACAAACGAAATATTATTTATTTAAACACGTAAGCATTGGTAAAAGAAGGCATCAAATATATATGCGCCACACTTCGCCATTCGATCTGTGCGAAAGCAGGAATACTGTCTGGGTGCGCAAACAGAAGCAGGTGGGTGCATGATGCTGCAAAAGCCACTCCATCCCCAGCCAGATAAGAAATGATTTACGGTGATGTACTAGTGTATTTACCTTGACTAAATAGGTTCCAAAAGAGGCGAAGAATGATCTTTATTGTACATATGTTATTTATCACACATGGCCCCCAAATGCCCTGGTACGGCCAAGAGTGGGGAGAGTCCGCTCTCCCTCTCGAAATACTCTCACACGGCCACGCGTATATAGCCTCTGCCAGGGAAGTCCTACTCACTGCCTTCTCGTGGCGGGGGTGTTGTTTACGAAAATGAGAGGACGAAAAGCGAATGTCCGGCGCTTTAACCGGATTCCAAACCAATGGTGCACATGGGCTCCAGTATCCTGCGGGAACAGATGGCGAATGAACCAATTGTTGGTCACCGGCTTCCATGGGACTGCATCTCCTTACGATGCTCCACTGCCTTGTGGATCAGACCTTCAGGTCGAAGGCTCGGGGTGTGGCCCCCTAAGAAAATCACCTGCTTCGGTTTGGGCACCCGGGCAGTATCACAGCCCTCACACATATCGAATGAGATTTGTGTGGCGCATATGTATTTGGTGCCTCTTTGTACCAATATCTATGTGTTGAAATAAATAATAATAAATAAATATCACACATATGTTGCGGTAGTTTATAAATAGATATATAACCAACCTCAGCACAAGTTCTGTACAGCTGAGTATATATGAAATGGTGGCATATATTGAGTACCTTTCAAATAAATCACTTGATTGGGTTGTCGGGTGACTTCCCCAATGTAATTACTAAAGTACGCTTGTGTCATTTATGCATGATTCAAGCAATAGTAAAACAGGCCTAACTAAGGCTTATAATTACCAACAATTCTCGATCTCCATGGTTAAAATCAAGAAATGATTTTAGTTAGTATACTACCGAAAACCAGGAAGTATTGCACAGCCATTTTGTCTTGTCGTGAGACTCCTCAGCAGTTCATGTCAGAGAATTTAGAAGTCAGGAAGTTTTATCTCGCTTGAGAATACCTAACCTTTATACCAATGAGTTGGCGTGCGAGGCCGATCCTGAGTTTAACTGCCTTTGAACGATTGTAGATGTGCACTGCTGAGGAGTCCGATAACAAGATTAAACAATGGTTTCGTACTTTATAGCCTCAAAAGGTGGTCTAGCTAGGATCAGTCCCTAATATAAAAACTGTAAAAATTCTAAACCATGAACTGACATTTTAACACTCCTCAGTTAGATAGTAGTTTGGTTGCATCTTGTCATTAAATGTATTCCAAGGTAGTTTTTGTCCCGAAGGTTGACTGTCATTGTAGTGCCATTGCATAGAAGCCTGTCGTGACATCCTACTAACACTTATGGACAAACTGGAAGATAATACTTAGGCCAACTTGAAATAACTGCCCAGCAAATTTCAGACAAGACAGTCAACTCTGTAAATAGTTAACCAGTAAAAATTTTCCTTACGTGGTAATGAAAGCATACGCTGATACCTTAAGTAACTGAACTATAGTATTACTCCAATTTCCTAGACCGTTCACAGGTTACACGTTCAAATGTATCTTAACAGGAAAGAAACCATGTGCGAAAAATATAATTTTGGATGTTTCGTTGGAGACAGAACCTTACTTCAGCCTTATAGCCCTATAGGGCTAATAACTTAGGTTCACTTAACAGCATTTCGGGTGAGACTATAACCTATGGTTTGTCTATAACTTATAGTCTAGCCTCATTTCGTCAGTGTCCGCTTTCACGGCAGAAGTATTCTAGGATGTTTTATTTAGATACGTATACGTATCTTCTAGCTGAAATATATTTCAGCTAGAAGACAACAACAAAAAATTAAACACAAAATTAACGCGTAATAATACCTGTAGCGCGTAATCACGCAATTACATTTGCATGATATGTACTTGTATGTATGAATACAACCCAAGCTTCCAAGTTTGGGGCTAGTTATTTACTGATAAGAAAACGGTTTGATGCATAAAAATGTATTACTATATAACTAACCATAGTTAAAGCTTTTCTTCACTTTATCTACGACTGCAATGTGCCTTAAGTTTTGTCTTAAAATATCAACCTCTTAAGGTATGTGTGTAGCAAAAATAGCATCAAAAAGAATTCCAGAGCTTTTAACACATATAAGTTAACGAACCAGGACACGGAAGGCAAGTAACCGATTCTCAAACTTGGTCGAACCAATGAAATTACTATGCATAAATCCCAGTAAGTTATAAAACACCAACGACCTTGAGCCAAATAGCGGCCAATCAGAAAGAAGTTGTAAGTAATAAAACAATGGACAGTACAAAGTTATGGAATGGCAGTGGATTACAGTCAAACTATATTTTCCATGGATGTGGCTGAGATGCAGTCTAGGAATGTCCCCGTACAATATCCCAAATTCCGTGTTTTCGAAAAACTTATATCGCCAATCGCCAAGTACGTTTAATTAGTATTTAGATATTCACGAATTAGTTCGACACAATTAGAGACATCACCTTCGACATCGAAATGTAAGCATGTTGGCGGCGCTATAGTGGACAAGTAAGTAACCTGCATCATGTAGTGACCTTTTTCAGCAGTGAAAGGTTGTATACACTGGTGCTGAACATGTCGTCAGCTATCAGTGAACTGGCAAAAACGATTAACAACATGTCGTCCACCATTATTGACTTGAATGTTAATGTAAACCAACTGCTATCGAAGTTTCATGAACGCGAAAAACCGCATCAATTCGATTGCGGACTGTCCAGTCAGCAGTTTCCTTTGTCATCTGAAGAGGAACTGCAGATGCTTGATACCGGTTTGTCGCAGAAAAAAACCAGGGACAGATTTGTAAGTCATTAACATAAATTTAATAATTTGTGACGATTACAGATGGCAATGGTCACTAGGTTATCAAGTGACAACCCAAAAGCGTCCATGCGGTTTGTTCTGTCGTATCTGTTGACACCTGAGGTTGCCAGTAAATTCACGTTACTTGGCACCTCTTCAAAACGAGCACTGCAGAAATGCACGTTTTACGGCTGCATACGAAGTAACCTTTATCTATTACTTAAACTTCAGCTGCTTTGACTCATCGCTTTTTGTCATCCTCTGTCAACGAAAAAGACCTTGGTAAGCTCTACGACATCGCGACCCAAGGTTACTTTCACGACATCCGAGACAAGATGATAAAACGTTATGGGAGAAAAGATAACCAGGTATGTACTGATTTAAAGTGATAACCTCCCTACGGCTCTATAGTTACAGTCAACAATATTAACGAACATAAACGTAAGTTCAGCTTCAAGTATTGGGCTGTGCCAAAGCATATCATTGAGATATGGTTGTGACCTTTTTTTTAATTCAGAATTCACAGGACGACTACCTCAATTCCGAATAGTCCGTGCAATTGTTTTGGTGTTCTACCTCGATGTCAATAAACATTTTTCTTTCAAACAGCTTACTTTTTTACTTACTTGGGAAACTGTTGAGAATGTGTGTTTGAGTTTCAGTGAACTTTTGATTAAAAGGACATTGCTTATGAATAAAACATAACCTGTTCCTTCTTTTTCAGATAATTTTCAATAACAATGAATTAGTAATTGCATTGGATATGCATAACAATGGATGCTTAAGCTTGTGCTCTACTGTTGTACAATAATAGGCTTTTCTTTTTAAATACAATTTTTAAAAAATTTACCGCTTTTAAACTGCATTGCAGAAATATTTTTCTCTGTTGTTGAAAATAAAGGCGAATGCAGGAGACCTTTGGTCTTCTGTCGATGGATAGAAAATAGGGTGTAATGTGTGTATTTAGGCGGATATGCGACAAATCAGCGGATATTTAGGCGAAAATTCGGCGGATATTTAGGCGAAAACGCGACTATTCAGCGGTTATTTAGGCGAAAATGCGACAATTCGGCGGATATTTAGGCGAAAATGCGACAATTCAGCGGATATTTAGGCCATAAGTGGGTAATTTGTCGACAAAAAGGCGAAAAAGGGGAAGTTCCGCATTATTTCCCCCGAACAGGCGAAAAAGGCGACATTCTGATGCGTTTTCCCCTTTATTTCCCCTTTCGCTACCATAGCATCTACCCCTTTATTTCCCCTTTTTCCCCCATTATTTCCCCTTTTTAGGTTGTCTGGGCAGCTAGGAAAAAAGGATAAGTTTTGGATAAATTAAAATATATAAGGAGTCGAACTACTGTTTTGAGTTAGGGTTGTCACCTCATAATTTTCATCACCAACTGACATTTCACAGAGCAAAAAGATCAAGGTAAGGTATAAAGGTTTAAACTTGAGTTTTGAATTGGATATACAAATCGTGGCCATGGTTTTAAGTGAGAATTGAATCGGCTAAAGTGCACTGCCTTCCGACCTTGATGCATGTGAACTTACGAAACTTAAGTTTGGGATCTAAAGTGAGAGCAAGATGGCGAAAAGTTTAAGTAGCCTCACTGATTACTCTTGAATGCGTAATGGATGACATCAGGTTCATTAGTTGCTGCCTTTGGAGCAGGAATCTTATAATATTCAGTTCAAGCACTAACGAAACTTCACTTATTTGATTGCATAAAAAATATTTTGACGAGACTATAATGTATAGACGAATCAATCGGATGTAAGATAACAGGTGTGAAATTTATTCATCTCTTTGACGTTTTGTTGTTTCAGTTGATGTCGGTTCGTAATGAAAGTCCAAAATCTAATTCCTAACCTTAAACATCAACTGTAATTAATAATTCTAATTCCTCACAATGGTTTTTTACATATATTTCGCACTAGTCAGTAGATGAACATTTGCAAGATCACTTCAGCGTCGCTAAATGGTCGTCTATCAATTATAGTCCTAGTTCCTCAAAGTAATTTATAGCCCGTATTTAAGTACGTGGATATTCTCAAAGTTTATTAAGCGTCACACAGAAGTCACCAATAAAATATATTTTCACCTATAGTTTCGTTGATTTCAAGCATTTTAAGAACCATACATTGCCAACATTCACTTAATTCTTACATATATGATATCCGTTACTTAATTCAAAACTTCGTCAAGATACTGGCAAAATCAAGGTCGTCAGTACATTATACTTCAACTAGAAGCCCCATATCAAAGAGAGATTGAGTGACATGTGGTGTTTGTTCAGTATCTTTGTCATATCTTCGACGAACATATTGATTTGAGTGCGCTTGCTTATTGATGTTTCAGTACGGATCCATATATTTAGTAAAGTCTAAAATGTGATAGTTCAGCTACTCCACTGCATTTACACCGGTCAGTTTGCTAGCAATTTATGGATTTGTATATCATGTAGTACAAGTTGGTGCGCTTGCCTCTTTGCAGTATGGTTTCCCAAAACCTGTAGCTGTTACATTATCAGGCAGTAGGTTGACTGTTTGCAATGTGGGAATAATAAAGTGGTAATTTAAGCGCTAAGAGACGATTGTTCCAAGAACAAATAACTAAGTTAAATAATTGGCAAGTTTTTATGAAGGACCTTCGAATGTGCACTTTATAGTTTTGGTGAATAGATGTGAATCAACCACTTTTTGCATTCTCATGCCTTTATGTCATAGGATGCTTTTATGTTTCTGGTACATTCTAGAACATTTGGTACCGTTATCTGGAAAAATTCTCCTTTGATTTCAGTTTTTAAAGGATAGGAGCTTGAATGACCTCTGTGAAGTTAGCAATCGCGGTCTCTTAGTTTAACGTACTTCGATTTAAACTCGTCAAGATATGGACCTTTAGTCCTATGCCTAGGTGAAGAGTTTCATTCGTCGATGATGCGATGGACAACCCGATAGTCATTTGACAAGTTATTTGCTCTAGGTCTCCGAACTTATTTGAGTTATGAACAGAAATTCTAAATTCTGGAAGGGAAGAAAAATAGGTATATCGGATGCAAGTATTTTATTAATTAATTCAAAGAATAAAATCAAGAAACCCCCAGACTTAAGGAATAGTTTCTAGTTTGGCCAGTTTATCACCATGCTGCAGCTTTGTGATCTCGGGATTCAACTGAGTTTTCGTTAGTGGGGTCTTTCCCAGCAGCTCAATGTCGTTTCGTCCTCAATCTGTGGATAAACTTTGAGCGACCTTGTGATTGTTCACCTACTAACTAGGACTAAATGATGGTTACAAACCAGTGTGAGGAAATAGAATAATGATTTACAGTCGATGGTTAGGTTAGGAATTAAATTCAGGAGTTTCATCGCGAACCGACTTCGGCTGAAACAACAATACGCCAAATAGATGACTGAATTTCACACCGAAATTCATGACCTGTTATCTTATATCTGATTGAATAGTTTCGTTCTTCTTGTTGTTTTGGTGACGAGCTAGGTGTTTGTATGCTTCAATACAGTGTTTAAGAATCGTAACGATTTCGACAATAAGGTTGGCTGAAGTGTCTATGTATTGACCATAGCGTTTGAAGGTACTTAGCAGTTGTTGCGCTGTAGAGTACAAAAGTGCCTACACTGAGGAGATTTTTAACTTATCCTTCCGAGTCTCTTCAACTGAAAATCATATTGATGTTTTGATGCAAGGTGGGACGATCGCCGTTCATTTTTATTGTAGTTTCTATCGAATAGCACTCACCATATCAATCAGTATCATCCAGTGCTTTGGTTACTTATATTTTTGTCGATTTAAATATTATCTTTTGAATAAACTGTTATTGATATATCTAGAAATGATAGGATAACACTTCTACATTAGTAAATACGTTTATTTGTTGGGACTGGTAATTATATTGTGTTCTTTACTGACTTATCCTCCTAATGCAACTAAGATTTATTTATTTGAATTCGGTGAATAATTATTAGTGAGTTAATCAGAAATTTCAAAGATATCATATGAAACAAAAGCTGAACAGACAAGTGAAATACTATAAGCTCGAATAATCGGTCTCTAATAAACGACTGTGTACAATATAGTAGTAATAACCGCGAAAAATCAAGAGAGAAGCAAATTGTCCATAGATACTGATGGCAATGGAAGAATGATGAATGTAGTGGTAGAACAAGAAACTGACGACAAGAAAAAATGAGTATGGTGTGTTAGATCCAAATAAAAGTTCGGACTGAAGGGTAGCTGTCTAAGTGGGTTAGATAGGCTCCCTAGCACAGTTGAATCCGAAACAAAGTGACTGGGTAAAATGATGGTACTGAAATTCATTATAAGTTTAAATTTACATTGTTACCTAAACAAATATGACCATACATATGTTCAACCAAGAACTGTTCAATTAATCAAATCTAAACTACAACTAATAAAGAAGTAGATAAAGGATGCGAGAAAATTACCAATCGCAACAAATAAATATTGTACTATCCTGTCTCAGTAAATCGCTCCCGGATTCGTTCAAAAGACAATTTTTGGTTGCTTTACAACACGGAGTGCTTCCAATTCTGGAAGAGCGCTTCAGTTCATAATCAAAAATGTACAATTCCAGTCAATACAAGCAACATAATCCAAAGGGGGAACAAATGAACGTGGCTGCCGCCAAGACTAAGTATCCAGTAAAACAAAGTAAAGGAAGTTCAGGAAGAAACATGGAAACTTAGTGAAGGCGTAAGAAAAATAAAAACTATAATAAAAACAAATTTTACCAACTCAAATGGAATCAAAAAGACTAACAAAATATACAAGTAAAAAATCCGTAGGAACAAAATGCAAGTGCATACATGGAGGGATTTTGCAATGCATTCTCACAACCACGTGTTAACGGATTCTGAAGTGTAGGGTGAGTTAAATAGAACCAGACATCAGGAAAACTATATAATCTGCTGTTGACAACACAGCGAACTACCTGAACAGACAGATGCGATATCCTATTTTTATTCTACATTTAGTACTAACCATGACCCAAATCAATAAATGTCTTTATGACTGACAAAAGATTTTTGTCCTTTAGATTACGTCGGTAGGATCGAAGAGTCTGATGAACAGGTTATGGTGAGATTATTTGAAGCATCATTAGATAAGTTAGGCTTGTGTGATGCTGTGTAGATCAAACAGATACTCTAGTTCGACTAACTGCGCAATCTGTTGACATTAGATGCTTGAAGAATACAAGCTGTATAGATTCGTTTTTGGCTTTCGGATTAGCGTACTGTGCATTTCAATATTGACATGTAGAACTAAAGATACCGCTTGACCTAATAAGCCTAAGTGGAAGTTAATAAAAAATAAGATGCTAAATTTGACTTTCCCTATTCCTTCTATTTCTGCAAAATATTGATGAAAATGAGTTATTTTAATGGAAATATTGGCAACAAACACCAGTGTTTCGTTTGTAGAAGTAAATCTATAGAAATGTTCAGCAACTGAGCCTCATGGCCTGCCGATACAAAGCAATAAAAGGTTAGTTGATGACATCCTTCCTCAAAATAAGTTTAGTTGGATGATATCTACACTGATCAAGACCATAAACCGATGTTTGTTAGGTGATCATCTACAAAATGTTTCGATCACAATTATCAAGCTGAAATGACAAAACTACTCGGATTTCAATCATGATTAAAAGTAAAGCAACAACAAACACTGGTTATGAATGTGCGGATGAAATTTTACAGATCTGTATAATATTATCAATCTTGTTTACATCCCTCCTAATATCCTTGTTCCTTGTCTCTGTTTGCCACCTATTTTTATTTTCGAAAGTAGCGTCCAATCGATCATCTGTGCTCTCAAAGTGAAAACGTGGAGGGTATGAAGTTGTATAGCTGGCAAAGGGATGTAAGGCTTATGTTCATGTTATCAGGATGATTGCGAATAACAGTTATCTTGAGGATGATACAGGTATTCAGTGTTTGACAACGCTTTTACCAGCAACACCTTCTAATATAAATTGTACTCACCGAGAGAAATCAAAAGACAGAGTCCAGGAAATCGGGAGAGTGTATTTAGCGAAAACCAATACATCGGAATTCTCTGATCTAATCTGGCTAGCGATTGCGAATGATGTTGAGCACAGCCTTACCACACGTGATCTGGTGCGGATGCATGCTAATGCATGCCCCTTCATCTAGATGAGTCCACTAAAACATATGGCCAGCATCCAATGTCGAAAACTTACAGAGCTATTTAGTTTGGGGATTTATTTACCGCTACAATCTTAACTGTCGATTTCACTATGTCGACGATTTTTTCTAGGTTGGAGAAGTTTTGTAGCCCAGGAAGGTGATTTTGGTGTAGTTTCGTTCTCTGAGCTAGATCATTTGGTCGCAGAGCCTTCACCAATCAGAAGAACGATGGAAGCCTTACGACCAAACCATCCAAATTAGAGATCGGTATTATTCCAAAATTCTTTATCTTCCGAATAATCGCTTAAAATGCTAATAAATCTACGGGAAAAACTTCTCATGATTTACACATAGGTGAGGGAAGCCTTCTATGCACTATCGCGGTTTGATTTGTTTTTTCAGTATCACGTTTGAATAATACGTTCACATTTTGTTTGTTTAATCTGATCAACGTAGGTGTACATGAACTTAAAAGAGGGTCTATTGAATAAGCGTCATCAATAAGCAATTTCTCAGCATGTTTTCTAATTGTGATAGCTTACCATATTGTCCTCGTCTGATTGATTACTTGGTGTTCGTAGGCCGTGAAGGACATTCTCATTCTGAAGAGGTTTACAATCAGATACCAAGCATTTTGAAATGTTATCCATTGTTAAAACATAAGGACTTTGTTTTGCCTAATGATGTCGTGTACTTCTGCCAGCCTGAAGGATGCATGTCGTCAAATTTGAGTTCGACAAATATGGTAATATTTTTTAATACGTTATTATTAGTAGGGAACTACAACATTTGTGTTTACTTTGACGGATAAAGACTCACAGAAAACTCGTTTCGGGATATGCTTGAACTTCTTTCGACAATGTAGTGTATTTGATTCGGTAAGTTTTAATGTTTGCGGACGGTTGCTTTTTCTGTTATTTTGATTACTGGTTGTGACACCTTTGGTCTAACTCCTAGGTGTTTTTAAGCCATTCACTTTATTCTTTCCGGTTATTAATGAACACATACTTTCCAATTAAAGGAACCTTTATTTATTCTGTATCTACATCTTTAGTTACAATGTCATGAAACTCGTTGTTTCTTCTTTATAGAAGTTTTTCCAAAATGTGCTGCATTTCTGACGGCGAGTTTCAACAAACAGAAATTCTTGGACTGTTTTCCGATTAATATTTGACGTTTTAGGTAGTTATGCATTAGGTAAAAGTAGCTGTTTAATAAATATGACTACCAAGGCAAATGTATGTCAATGCAAAGATATCTGCCTATGATTCCGGTTATGCGTGACAATTTGAATAAAACCCAAACTAATTTGAAACGATAACAATAAATGAACTTTAGAAAATAATCATCACACCCATTAAATAGAGCTTCAGCGTGGTACTTGCACTATTTACGGGCTGAAAATGACATTTTCAAGAACGTTTGAGCATACCAGTATGGATAAGATGTCGAATGAGTTTGACGACATTTTGAATCGTGGTGTGATATCAATGGGTTTTAAATGGTGAAACAGGATATTTATTCAAGTACATAAGTAGACGAGAGTAAAAGACATTATCAAGCTATATTTTACTAGCGGCCTGTTTTGTGGGATAAATAAGAATGTGTTAGCAATGGCCTTAATGTTTTTCTGGTCTCGAGAATACTATGGTGCCCCATTGTTTTTTATTTTAGTGCAAAACAAAGAAAAATATCTCACAATTTGAAATGTTTTTGTCTTTGGCAAGAAACGTAACGTTCATATAGGGGCTTGATTTACAGTCGTTTATCACTCATAATGTAGTGTATTCAGCCTTGAGCCGCATTACAGATGTGGGAGTTAGTGATAGTAACCACCTACTAAAGGCGAGGTATCTGAAACGAGAGCAAAACCCGATCTACAGTTGGCTGAATATCGAGCATATCAAGCACTTAGTTATTTGTGTCTGCTCAGTGTTATATATTTGGACTGTGTGTATAAGTCGTATTTCTACAGGTAGGATAGATGCAACAGCAGTTACTAACAGGGAATACGAAATATGATTGAGAATCACTTATAATTTACCGTTAAAGTGTACACTGTGTTTAATGATGACAAAATTTATTATTTTCCAATGTCATATTGTATAAACATGCCGAAAAGCCCAAAAAGTGTTTTTTACACAACACTGTATGGCATTTTCATCAAATGAGGTATTCAGCTCTAGCTGTGGCTGAACGTATAGTTTCAAATGGTTATTATTGCAGGTGAGTTATGGTCTTTCATCTAAATAATTTGGTTTTGTTTCCAATTATACGATTTTAAACCATTTATTATCATAAAACCGCGTTGGTTCAGATGTTTGAGCCGATTTCTGATAGCTTTTATATGAAATTTCATTATGATTTAGCGTGAATTCGAGGCTCAAGCAGAACCACAGTCAAAAGTTTTAAAAATTTGCAAGAATGTATTTGTGATATTATTAATGATCAATACATTATTTTGATCCGACAACCACGTAAATCGGATGAAAAACCAGGGTTACGAAGAATCAGTAGTGCCATCATTATGTACGCGGTTATAAGAATTAATAAAAAATTTAGGTAACGTTTTGTTGGTCACTAAAATAGACGTAATTTGGAGCATGAGCTTGTAATAAAGTGTCAGATGCAAAAACCCCCTTTATACTTATAAGATTTTTCTAGGAACACAATGTTATTCATCTTGAATTTTTCAGGTATGTTCAAACGAAGATCCAAAAAGTAAATGGGATTCAAATTCAACGGTCGTTGATGCACCTAAAGACCAAATACTGAGGAATGACAATAAGCAGTCAATATTAACATCCTTATGTTTGATCAGTCACCATCCTTTCTTCTCTAAATTTCGTCAATGTTTGCACTCCCTGAAAGAAATCATCGATATATGTGATGAATATTTCAAAAAATTATACTCTGCCAAAAGGTAGAATTATCATTCTGTTTCTTCTTGAGATACTTGTATATTCAATAAGATACTGAAATTTCTGGTCGTTCGTCATAATCTAAGTCTTTCAATTATCATCACTGTACTCGTATTTTTAGAAGTTCCTAGTTGCTAAAGATCATTCCTTATTACAAAATAACCTAACACGTCGGATGAGTCAGAACTTAAATTTGGCAAAGTTAAACACATAAAACACCAAACATTGTTTGATGTTAGTGGTAAAAAGCACAGTCACATAAATTTTTGTTAAAGAAAAATTAGGTCGTATTTTTCCGTGAACATGAGTAACTATTGGATTATGGTTCTTAGCTGCGGTTTTAGACCATATCCAACAATATCTTTAATCAAGAGTTACAAGATCTTGCATACTCAATCTAAAAACTTTGAAGAGCCAATGAATGATATGTCTACATAAATATTCTTTATTAAATGTCTTTAATTCATGGAGCAATTACTGTTGTTTTTGTGACTCTTTTTTATCAATAATCATGCTGCATCTAGTTAAAAACATTTCTAAGACGTAGGTGATTCTTAAAATCTACAGTATTACTTCGTGAAGAACATTAAAACTGTTTACATCAACCGAGGAAGGAATCTAAAATGAGGTAGACATAACCAAACCTTGAAATAGATTCAGAGATACCGAAAAAGCCTGAAATAAGAAGCTTGTCAGAAATAGTCATTTTCAGGTTTGGACAGCTGCCAAATGTTTGTCCTCGTTATTCGGGTTAAAGTGGTTGATACTCCAAGGCAAACAGACATAGACAAAATACTAAGTAAGAGATACTGACGAGTCCACTCTATTGATAAATAATTGACTCAATATTCAAAGGACACAAGCCCTACTGGTTAAAAATGAAGCATGATTTTTTTGGAGATATGTAGGTATATTTATGGATAAGTTCTGCATTTATTTTCTATTTGGTCTATCTAGTGAAAACGTTTTCCGTCATTCTTAATTTTCTAGCTGACTAGGTTCAATTATAGGGGTTTTTGTACTAGCAACATGCTAAAACGACGACAGAACATGACGGTATAAACTGTAATTTTCTTTATTTTTCTCACTTCGCTTTAGTCAGTCTTATTCTTTCTGGTCAACTATACTGAGTAGACAGCCAGTTGAACAAATAAATGTTGATCATTTATTAATTCAAGTTGTCTATGAAATAGAATCTTGGATTATTAATCTTTTGAATGCACCTGTACCTATTCCGGGGAAAACATGCCTACACGTAAGTTTCATTTGTAATTATTATTTAATAATAATCATTGAGTTAGATGGTATGGGCTTTTTAATTTGATATTATGCAGTTGACTTTTATTTAGCCAAAACCACATATATGTATATATATGTACATGTGCATACACATGTTTTTAAATCTTACACCTACTTTCAGTTTACCTAACTAATATCTCATGAAAAGGTTTTCACAAGTTCCATGAAAGTTGAATTATGAACATTATTAGTCAGTACAGGTATACAGTCATCTGTATCAAGTTTTTGAATAATTCTGTTCATCTTCTCGACTTTATTGATAGGTTCGCCAATCCAAAAACTTTTCGCAGTATTTGAGAATAAACATATTTTATAACAATCATTATAGTTAATGCCAGTATCTTAGTACTATGTTAGTACTGATATTAAAACATGTTCTAGTGAAAGACTTAGTTCATGTTTTTATGTATAATCTAAATCCCGAAACATTTTGTGATAGTACCAATTATAATGTTGTTTTTAGATTGTAACCTACCATTGATATCATTTAATAAATTTATCCACATAGTTGCTATTATTTTTAAAACATTTATTATTTGAAGTTTATTCAAAAAGTTATCATCGATGTCTTTCAAAAGAGCCCTTGTGTGATTAGATCTTTTAAATATAAGTGCAGACCGATATCATTCTGAGCTTTTCATCTCTTATATCTCACTACATGAGATCACGTAACACTAATTTACACGTAAATTGTCCTACTTCAGAAGTGCGACCTTATACTGTCTAAAGGTAAACTATTTGAGTAATCAGACTGAAAAAGAGCTTTTTAACTTTCTGTAAAAAACTGTTAGTTACAGGTAATATTTTGTCGGTTATAACAGCGAATGTATTCCTAAATATTTAAAACAATTAGATTTTCATAACAAACAATAACTCATCATCTCATGGTTAATTGAAATGCGTGATGAAAAGCAGTATTTTGTTGTCTTAGATTATGAAAAATAATGCTTTATAAATCTCCATATTTTCTGTCCAGATCATTAATCAATCGTTCATTTAATTTCCGTAACGTTCCACTACAAAGATATAGATGAGTTTACTAGGGGTACGGATCCTAAACATGATATGTTTATCCGCTGGGGAATGCATCTTTAATGAACTGAGAATTTACACACTTTATTCTAATGGTAACTAGAAATTACATTTGATTTGTCCAAATGTTCAGCTTACTTTCTTTACTTTTGTATTCTTACTTATAAGTGATCAGGTTTATTTATGAGTTCATGGATTTTTTCTAGGTTCATATAAGGTAAGATGTTAGCATGTTTTTATCTAAGTGTACATAAGAGATTGATATATACTTGGATATTATTTTTTAACGTTCTCTCAGTTTTATTTAACACATTTTTATTATCTATTCTAAATCATTTCCCGATCTATTATTGTCTTAAAACATTTCTTTCTCATTATTGTTACTTTTTGATTGTATCTGTATAGTAGTTAGTCCCCAGATGTCATCTCTATTGCATAGTGATGTAAACTTCCGTATGTTTATGAACTATTTACCGGATATAACGAATAAATCTAAAACTTAGACGCTTTAATGGTTATTATTCCGTGATCGCTTTATGTCTAGAACCCACTTTTTGAGATTTGTGTACACAAAACACGAAGTATAGTTAACTTTTCTGATAATTACGCTACGTGATGCATATTATGATCTTTAAGATAATACGAATTTCATTCTAGTTATAGAGAATACTTTCTAATGACTATTGTCAAGTATACAATCAAACTTCAGATGTTAACGCTTATTTCTGGATTATTCAGAAAGGTATCCGTTCAGTCTAATCAAAAACATAATAATACATTATTCACTGAAAATTGGTGAACACCGGTACATGTAGAACATGTTTTAATTGAAGCTATTTTCAATGAACTAATTAACATGATTTAAGTAGTACTGAATATTAAATGTTAATTTTTAAAATCTAATAATAATCACCTTAGATTATAATTAAAAGTTTTGTTTTTAAAGTTCCACGATGTTGGTTAGATTGTCAATCCTGGAAATAAGTTACAAAATAATATTCAGTATTTATCAAATTATACGTTTTAGTAACAGTAATTGTTGGGGTGATCCAGAAAATTGCTTGCAAAAGACGAGCAAGCATCAGGAAACACTAAGAAGCGTTTCATCCAATCAGCGTTCAATTGGAGTCTTAGCCAAAAATATTAAGGAAGCGAGACGTCACATGCAGAGGCTCTGATTGTCTGTCTGCTACACTGCTACTATGTTAAGTAGCACTCCAGAATCTTCTAGCAACCCAAGAACATTTAAAATATTATAAAAACCCTGTATTTTTTGTATTAAAATGAACTTTGGAGTAAACTACTTCTCGCATACTTTGAGTCTTCTATCTCGTGTTCAGGTCACTGTATAGTTCTAGTTTGGGGGTTACAGAATAGCTTAGGAAACGAATATAGCGTTCAATTCGCAAGACTTATCAGTAATTTAAAGGATAATATACAATTTATAACTTAAAAATTCAAAACAAAATTGATTCCATGAATACATTTGACGATTAAATACTTCTCAATACTTTATAGTGAAGAATATTTAAACTATTCTAAATTTCTAAATGGTAAAATAAATGATTTAAGCTTACAATAGCTAGGCACTTAGAATACATGTGAAAATCATTGTTTCAATATTTGTATTCAAATTTATTTTCTTGTTTCTAGGTAGAATGTATTTATCAAAATTTTTCTATAGTTAAAATACTCACGGACGTATAGTCATGGTTGTACCGAGAAAATCTAATTGTTTACCAGATTCGATAGTTATATATATATATATAACCGTATTATGCACTTCAAGTAGATAATTCAACCGAGTTTATCGCTCTTTACGTGTAGCTCACATATATACCAAACATAAAATTTACCTTTAGCAATGCATAACTAAGATATTCGGCTGAGATAATTATTAAATGTTTTTTTCAGTTTAATTACTTAAAAAAACCGATTGTGACAAAGTTTTAACATTACGGTGTATTATTCCTTGTCATTCACTTAATGAATACAAAAGAATTATTACATATTGTGTTTCATTAGGAAGAAGATTATGTTTTTAACCATCCAAGCATTTGAAGCTGTAAAAACTTCAATGTTTCATTCGGCAATTTAAACGTTTTCAGAAAAAAAATTTTCAATCACCAAAATTCTCAGTTCTGAATAGGGCTTCTCTGATGAAGTTCGGATTAAACTGTCGGAAATTATAACTTCTTCATAAGTCCAGTTGCTAGAAATTTTGCAAATATAGATTTCTTTTTAAATGTTTTATAAATCCGGTGACCATAGTTTGATGAAACTATTCGTTCAAATTTTGACGACACCTGATAAAATATTATAATTTATATTCAATAAACATGCATGGTTTACAATGTGTGATAAGTTTGATATTTGCATTGGGCATGTATACTAATAAAAAATAATACTTCAATTTATTTTTTATGGTTATCTTTTGTCATATAGTTTAGTTTTTATATGAGTAAAAATTGATTTTCAGCTTCCAATGACAAATTCAGTTGGGGTGCATTTCAACAAATTAGTTGAAGACACTACATTTGTATTCATAATAAGAAACTTTTAATTAGAGTAAAGAAGTGTTTTTAAGAATTACTTGGAGTACTGTTTTATCCTAATATAGGGCTCTTCTACTGCTAATAAAAATGACTCAGCCGAGGATAGAACCCAAGATCAATAGGTTTAGTGGATAGCACACTACATATAGGACCAATTATTTAGTACCTAATGCTTTACATTTACACCTGTCTACGTAGAAAAACTGGATTTATTATTTATGAATAACAAACTTACCACGCTAAATTTGTCGAGTACAGTTTTCATTATTCTAGTTAATGAACGAGATAACATTTTGAATCACTAAATTTCATGCAACAGTATAGTCATTTAATTAACTAATTGCAGGAATACGTAAAATAGCAGTTTATATGGATACCAAACTGTTTTATTAAGAAACGTTTTATAATTCATGGATTTCACAATAAACTATATTAATAATTCATACTTCCATCGATATTGGGCACAATAATGATTTTCTTATTTAAAATCAACTGCATATATATATCGTATTAATTGTTTTACAGCTCACTGTTGGACCAGAATCATTTTATGAAAAGTTGATATTTGCTTTACCAGATAAAACACGTTTAACGTTGATTGATTTCCCGTTGCATTTACCATTGGAGCTGTTAGGTATGGAGACATGTTTGAAAGTGTTAAGTGCTATTATGCTAGAACAAAAGGTAAATTATTATTATTATTATATATTTTTTAATACTGAGTAGTTTTTATCGAATTTCGTTTCAATACATTTATATGAGATAAGTAATTCATTCTGTAGTAAGATGTAAGATGTACATAATAAAACATGTGGTATAATGTCACATTATACATATAATCATCAAAACAAAGTGAATAATAAGTGGTAACAATTGTAGGAAGATTGAAAATGTTTAAAATTATGGAGAATATTTACAGTTCAGGTAGATGCATTGTGTGGTGATATACTCTATAATCTAGATGGTTTTGATTGGGTAGCTTTCACTGTCATTCCGTTCAACATCGTCAGTGCCTTCTTGGCGAAATGTGAATAATTCTTTGTATATTCTTCATTTTCATTACATCTTTTCTACTGCATATTTATTTTCTGTTTATAATCACTATTATTGTTGCTTTGATGTAAGATAACATCCATCGTTAACTTTCTAAAACTTTTGATTTCGTGGATTAAAAATTTCATGTTTTTCAACTATTCGAACACTGCAATATCCACAAACCTCCCTACACTGATAAAAATCATGTCCACACTAGTGACTAGCTATACAATTTAGCTCCTGATGTTCTAGTGGGAGGGCGTTATCAGTGGACTTCAATTCCTGATGGGTGTGAGACAAGTTCTCACCACAGGCGATTGATGAGGGTTGTAGATTGTAGATTGGTTAAAGTTAGACATTAACACTCTTGGATACCAACTCAGTGTTATGGTGAATAATAGTCCGCGCGCAATACCGAAGGCTTTGAACTTCATTCTCGGATGCGGGTTCGTGGATGGGCAAGATCAAAGGGTCCCATGCTAGGATGATACGCCTTTCCGGTGCTTTCAGGTTTTAAATGGTTGTCTAACTAAGATAAGTTCGTATTTAAAACTGTGATCACACTAAAATCCTTACAAATCCCACACACTAACTTAGAGTTAATTTGAAATATATGAGTTATGGCAATCTATGGAATCCAGTAGACTCATTCTGTTGTGTTTGGGACTGACGAGCAAGTCAAGTGCTGATATGCACACAGATTCGAACCCAGTATCTTTCACTTCAAATCCTACTGATGATATATATATATATATATATATATATATATATATATATATATATATATAATTATGTGAATAAAATGCATGTATGCAAATACTCGTTTCAGTTTTCAACAATTAAGCAATCATCATACAGTTATGCGGCAGAATACTGTTATAAGTATTTAAAACAACTGAAATCGACAGTTTTAAGTTAAAAGCTAAGAAATTTAAACTACTTTTGAAATAAGATTTTTTCTTTAAAAATGATGGTATCTAGAGATGATGGTTGAACAGGTTAGTGGTTATATCAACTCAGTAGCTCAGTAAATAACGCGATGTTCTGATCTTAGCGTAAAAAATAAAACTCGGTTACAAACACATCTAAGTGACAAATTACAGATAGGACGAAACATGGGATCTGGATTTCTCTACTAGCCATGTACTAATTATATTAAAAAGTTGTCATTTATTTATAAAATACTTAACACTGAATTGTGTAACTATAACTTTCTTGTCATGTAATCAAATTCCTCATTATTTTTAACAGATGATAAATTTCCCTCACTTGAATAGAAGGACAAACGCTTGTAATATACTGATATCTTTAAAATGTGTATTTCTAAATTTAGGTGTACCTTTTTAAAACAATTGAAATTCACTATACAGAACCATAACATAATAATAACAGGCTGAAAAACTTAAAAACAGTATATATTGCCTTGTTTTCTGTGAATCACTACTGTTACTTGCCTATTACATGTGTTTTGGGACCGAATGTATTAGCAGGTCATATATTGGAATAAAGTATATTCCGTGAAGGATTGTGTTGAGACACTCTAATTAGTTATTCCTTATCCAATCAGCGATAGCTGATACTTAGAGAAGGCTTTAGGATCTTCTTATGTCAAAGTTATAAATATACTAACGTTTTTCTTATTGTGAATCCTACTTCCATTTAACCTTATTTATTTAAATAATCACGTCCCTTTTCAATCGTGTTCTGATTTGGGAGGACTTTTTGAAAGGAGTGTTCTAAAACACTATGCAATAACACTAGTTGGGTCGTGGTAAGAAAGTTCGTAACAGTGGTGGCGAGGCAAGATACGTTTAGAATAGAATCCCGTAAACACAATAATGCGTGGAAGATTCGATTGTTGATTCATGAGTTGGGAAATAATGAACGTATGCGTTACGCTGACCACATATTGCCAGGGTTACCTCGAGAGCTCAGTTTCCAGGAGACGGTAACCCAACTGTCAGAAATATTTAGTGAATCATCCTCATTGTTTAGTATTTGATATCATTGTCTAAATTCGGTGAAACCCGAAGCCGATGATTATGGTGCTCTAGCAGATGTTGTTAGCACTGTGAGGGGTTCAAATTACGCTCATTGACGGTGGACCAATTTAATTGCCTAATATTCAACAAAGGTCTTTAGTCATCACAAGATACTGTGGTAAGGACTAGACTTTCAACTTGATTGGATCAAGATCACAGCGTCACACTTAAGAGAATGACGGACGATTGTAGACGGCTACAAAACATGTACAACAAAAGATCAATTGAACATATAAATCCGAATTCAACCTACAGTAGTGTCAATGCTATTACTAGACTAAAATTTCAGAAGCTGAGAATATTAGAAACAACCCTTAACAAACCAACTACTGGCTGTTAGTTATGTGGTGATTGGCATTATGTACGGTTAAGCTCATTTAAGGTGCATGAATTTCAGATGTGCAACAAACGCAGACATAAAGAAGGTTATTGTTTAAAGAATCATACATCCTAACCCAAGAATAATCATAAACATCCTTAACAAATTATGAAGTCAGTCGAATGTAAATCAAATTATTGAGTAGCAGCTTTTTAAATAGACTATGGCATTCGGAGGAACTATGCTATTATCCTAATTAATGGCATCTCAATTCGTCTTCAAATTGAGATGGCATCCGATATCATTTTGCTGTTTAGAGAAACGTATAACCTACTTGAGAGACCGCCAATGAAGTCATCTAAGAAGACTTTTGAAAATGCATCAGATGGAGTACCAAAACTGGTTGGCGAATTACAGTGTGATTTGTACTTAGATTGAATTAACTGTAAATGAATGTTATCTAACAGAACAACCAGACCTTGATCTATTTGATTTAGGCGTGTTGGAAAAACTTCGGATAATGGATATATTCAATAACGGTGTCTGCAGCGTTTCGTATTCACCATTGGACATCCTGATATTTGCTATGAAACAGGTTGTTAGGAAAGCTTAAGAGAAAATTTGCCTCTGTTTTTCATAATAGCCTTTTTCAGTGTATCAAAATAAAAGCACATTTACTAGATCGTTACGTGAAGAATTACGAACAGTCAATAAAAATTAAGTCCATTTATTTAAAATTTAATGTTGTGATTTTGGCGCCTAAATATTTTGTTTTAGACTATCAAAATAGATTATGAACATTAAATGTAAAATGAAACTTTCCAGATGACTGTTGATTCTCCAAAGTTATCTAAACGATAACAATTTAGGACTAATATATTTTGAAAATTTATTCCAAGTTAACACAGAGTAAATACATGTTTGGTACAGAATGATCATTGGGGAGTAGAGGTACAAAAATTGCTTCCCAAAGGGAATATATACTATTTAATGATATCTTCATAATTTCACCATTATATATGACATATTCTAAAGCTTTTTAGGAAAGCAATTTAAGATACAAATATCAATATATGGTACGAATAACTTTTCATTATATATATTTAATTATATATTTTAGAATAGCATATATTCCAGTCAACAACCATTCATAAATTTAACTGGTTTGATTTAGTGAATATTGAGTTTAAACCATAATATGAACATTAGTATCAATAGAAAATAACCAACTTCAGTCTACTTGTTCTGATTTATACAGTAATATAATATACCCTTGTGGGCCAGGGTAATTTTACATTGGTTTTCAGGAGAACCAGACACCATCCGGACCTTCACGTAAAAACCCAAACAGTACAGCTCAACCCTGTTTAGCAGGGGAATCAGACACCGTACAGACTTTAACGCTACAATCTGAATAGTACAGCTCAATCCTGTGGCGCAACCACACAGGTACCAAGAACCCTGGTGGACCATGTTCTGATTTATGGTAGATACGAATTCATTTATATTATTTAAATGACTTTATAATAAAATATATCTTTCTTTTTTATTTTCATCACATTTATTTTTTTTATTTTAGGTTGTATTACAATCTAGAGATTATAATGCTTTAACAATGTCAGTGATGGCATTAACAGCTATGCTCTATCCACTTCAATATATGTTCCCTGCTATACCTTTATTGCCAAATAGTTTAAAAGGAGGAGAAAATGTAAGTGAAAATGTTTAATCTTAAATTCTTTTGGAGAGTTATATATTTATATTTCAAAATTATTCTTGAATATCATAGTAGAAACGGGAAATGCTTAAAAAAACATCTATGTACACATTATTGTTGGTTAATTCTAGTAAGTCAATTTATTTATGTTTCTTCGGGGTTTTCTTCGTCAGTTTAATAAATTTTATAATTTTTCCTAGAAGTATTTAGAACTTCATGATTACTTTGAATCATATAATTGATCCTTCGGTTTTTATCTCTACTCCAATCCTAATGGAGGGCTTTAATTTTAGGATCATCTTTTCTATTTGTTCTATGATCAAGATTCATGTAAAGTATAAATTTAGAATTCAGTTCGGAATTCATCATAATATAAACTCGTTTTTCAGGCCTTCTTATTAACAGATATATATGTAAGTGTTAGTGACACTGTTCGACTGACCACATTTACGTAGGTGGAAAATTGTTTGAACCTGTAACTTAATACCTGACTTTATTGTGACATGGTACCATTAAGCCACCACTTCTCAGGCCTAACCGTGAAAAATTAAAATAAATTTAAGTCAAATGTCTTGTCGTTTCGATAATGTAATAGGAAAACGAAGATTATCAGAACTATGTGATATATTAGCGCAATACATTTTGAACAATCTGATAACACATATACTTGTTAAGGACATTTATATATAAAAAATAAAAGGTCAAATAGACTGGAAATGTGGTAAGAGGAGACAAGGATAATAATAATAAGAGTAATAATAATAATAATGCTGACACAATATATTACATTATATTCTTGTATTAAGTTAACATGAACTATATTCAGCATATTATTTATTATAATTATGTTTCATATATATGATTTCATCCTAATTATTAATCAAAATAGGTGTACGAATCAATATATAAATGAGTGTATTTCCTACTAGACTTGTCGTAGTTGTTCGTGCTTCTGACTGCTGGTGTAATATATATATATCTTCGAACTTGAACTTCTCTCTTTAGTTAGCTGGGCTGGGACACGTCGGAATAGCTGTCACAGAGTTTTCGTTCCGTTCATAGATTAGGTGGACCTGTAATCTCTTCAAACATTGCAGATCTCAGTCGCGGGACCGTATATGTGCACTGTTGGGGAGTCCAGTACAAGGATGAAACGGCCGCTCAGTGCTTTCAGGTTTTCAATGTGTTGCTATCTCAATATGACTTTACTCTTTATGTAAAAATGGGCTATACCTGTTAAAAATTACTAGTATGTCCTGCAAGATTTGAGAATATTCTGTTGTATCTTTTTTATTTCCTTTTTTTCATAATTTAGTTATTACTTTCTCCAACACCATTTTTAATTGGTATCCCAGCTACATTTTTAAGTCAAAAGACAGATTTTCGTTTCCCCGCCGATGTGTGGTTAGTTGATTTGGACGCGAATAAAGTGAGTTAACGGACATAAATTATTACTTGGATATATGCGACTTTGATTTGTGTCACAGTAATTATTTGTACGCCACTTACCGTACCCAGAGTCGATAATTTACAGTAAAGCAGTAGCATGCTAGTTATAATCAACCGATCTTCATCGAACAGATCACAAATGTGAGCCTCATTTCATCTACTTCGTTTCAGTCAACCGAGTAGTGTAATTAGTTTCCATTACGAACAATTTAACTCAAAGCCAAATCCATGAGCTTTGACATGGTAATTGAATTCAATCATTACTATGTCAAGATAACCATTGTTTGTTCTATATTGATATCTGTCTTAAATTGCTTTTAGTTAAAAAGCAGTAAGTTTTGACTATTTTTATATTATGAATTGAAATAATTTCACAGTTTACTTAGAAATAATAATCAGAATTTTCAGTAACTGGAATGCTATAATTATGGTCATTAACTTAAGCTAAAATGATTACATAACAGAATTGTGTTTAAGTGAAAACTGTCATTAGTAAATTTGGGAAGCTGATAAATAATATAAAATAAAATTTCATTACAATCAAAATGCTAAGAACTTTTTATATTGTAAATTGACAGAACATAAATAAACGGATAATATTCTTTTCATACACATAGTTCCCTTTATCATTTTGAAAAGAGCAAGAACAAACATTTTAGCAGAATAGCATGAATTCATTTTTATTTCGTTGGTTCACGTCAGCTGCTTACAACCTGTAATATTTTTATGGGTTATCTTGAAAATATGGTGCTTAAACAGGCGATTAGCGAAACGACGGAATATTCCAGATATGTTGATGACACGTTTATTGTCTGTAACAATAAACAGCATGCAATCCACCTGCTAAAACTCTTCAATAATGCTCATCCAAACGTACAATTTACTATGGAACACGAACAGAATGACATGATCCACTTTCTTGATGTTGCTATAAAACGTAGGAGAGATGGGACTGTCCAACGTTCGGTTTATCGAAAAAGTAGTTGGGATGGCCTTTACCTGAATTTCAATAGTTTTTGTCCAATCAGTTACAAGAAGGCATTAGTTAAAACACTATTTTATAGGGCAGAAAGGATATGTACCACTGAAAAACTGGAAGAGGAATTGATGAACGTGAAAAAATGCCTAAGAGACAACTTTTACCCACAAAAGTTTATTGACAAATATAAAAAGCGTAAAGAAAACAATACTGAAGTAATTACGATCAATAAAAAAGCAATTACTATAAATCTCAACTTCAAAGGTGATTATGTTTCAAACACAATGAACAGGAGATTGAATACTGCGCTAGCCAAAACTTATCCGGCGGCCAAACTTCTAATTCTGTATAAAACAACATGTTCAATAACTCAATCAAAGGTTGATAAGCATCCTTTTCATGTTACCGCCAATTGTATTTATAATTTTACGTGTACCTGCCAAAGCAGCTACATTGGTCGAACAGAAAGGAGGGCATATCTCAGATTTTTCGAACGTGTTCCAAAAAGCCTCAGAACAAGAGAAAGAAAAACTCTTAATAGTGCAATCACCAAACCTCTCCTTGATATATATATATATATATATATATATATATATATATATATATATATATATATATATATATATATATATATATATATATATATATATAAGGTATATATTTACAATATTCAGTCTATTAAATTTATTTACACCCTTGCTATACTATATGAATATGTCTTCAATATAACTTCCAATCAAACCCCTTCCATGTAATTTAAACCCATTATGTAATTATGATACTGAATATCACAGGTTGTAAGCAGCTGACGAGAACCAACAAAGTAAAAATGAATTCATGCTATTCTGCTAAAATGTTTGTTCTTGGTCTTTTCAATATTCTTTTTCATTAAATCTTCACTAGGCTTTATTCTAATGTCTAATAATATTTATACTCACCCATGAACATATTAAACTAATCAAGGTTGTTCATGAATCAATGATTACAGTAAAATAGATTACACCACTAAACATAATAGGTAAAATGTACAACTTGACAGTGTGATGATAAGTGTACTAGTTACGATAAGTAGAATAAAGACTTAAATCAATATTTTTTATAATAAAAAGTAGGTAAAAAATCAACACTGAGATAAAATTCAGTAATAAGATTGCCTACTAAAATATGAAAGTGAAGTCAATATTTTAAAAAGAGAGATGGGGAGAAATAAACTAACAAAGAGTATAGAAAATAACAATAAGTAAAATAGCTTATTGAGAATAATTCAGCCAAGAAAGAAAGAAAACTGTTAAAAATTTCTTATGAATACATGGATTATTAGCTTTAATCCGTCTAGCTTCTGTCATGCGTAAAAGGTGTGATTACACCTCATGAGAAAAACAAGTAATTATACAACCAACTACTTTAAATGATTTATTCCTAATTACTACATAACTTACTTCCTATGATGAAGGATTGATTCAATTATTTATTATTCTCAGCATAACTATTATACTTATCATTACAATTCTTAGTTTTTACTGATTATGTTTAGTTTTGTAATCCTCTTAATTGGTCATTCAATGAGTTTCCAGATTTTAAGTTACAAAGTAATCTCAGCTAGACCACCATTGAAAACATGGAAGCACTGGACAAGCGTTTCGTTTTAGTATGAGACCCTTAAGTCGTGCACATCTACGAACCTGCATCCGAGAATTGAGCTCAAAACCGCTATCGCGTGCGAACTAATCATCGCTGGACCACCGAGTTGGTATCCAACAGTGTTGATGTCTAAATTCAATCGATCCACAATGTTGCGCAACTTTCATCCATTGCCTGTGGAGGGTAACTATTTCACACTCGACAGGTTGTGGTTTTGCAACGCAACTCCAGGAGTTACATCATTCAACTAGTCACTAGTGATTCCAGAATTATAATTAATGTAGAGAGGTTTTTGGATATTGTAGTGCTTTCACAGTTTAAACCAAGAATTGGTCTTAGCTAGATCACCATTGAAAACCTGAAAGTGTAAGACACGTTTCATCCTAGTATTGTTTCGTTTAAAACTTTATATATTATATTAAGTATATCTATTTATATGGCTTCGAATCTGATGAGAATAATGATGCTTAGTGATAACAATCGTTGTGAGGATATGTAGGTATATCTATTATCAATTTTGACCACAATTTACTGGTTATAATTACTTTTATTAAAATAACTATAAACAATTACCATTATTGTCATTATCATTATCACTGTTGGTATGGTTAATGTTTTTAATTGTTTCTCATATAGATGATGGGTAGTTCACTTCTAGAACCAATCCCATTACTTCCGGAGAAAGAAAGCAAAACATTATGTGAAAATTTGGATCAAGTAACCACTTATTATGTGTTTTATCATTAGTATAATTATCTTGATAGTTCAATAATGTTTCACAAACTAATTACAATTTAGATTACTGTCTGTTTTATATTTATAAACTGTATAGGTTGTTTAGTTTACAGGAAGTGCTCTAATAATCAACTTATATATATGTTCAGTAGTGTGCTTTTCGAAAATTGTAAATTTATAGGCAGATTTATTAAAACAATTTTCATGCTACACAGATTGAATTATGTGTACTATGAGATATATAAATAGATCTTCAAATTAATCAATTATTGAGTAGTTATAAGTATAATTTTATGTATTGTCTCATATTTATAGGATGCTGTCTATCAAGTTACAGTATAACTATTAGGTTGATAGACTAGACACTGTGTTGCACTTTATGATCGGCATGGAGTCAGTTATAGGCAACGTTTGAAGTTGGCACGCCCCATTACCATAGTAAGATGAGATTGTCAGGGTAAAGACAATATTAATTCTCAGGCATCTATGATCAAATACTAGTAATCTAAGAATATCCTCTACTTTTAAAAGCCATAATTCACCTCCGTAAAGAAGAACAAAGAGTATCTGTGCACAGTAAACTTGTCCTTTAGTTGGAAAACGGCTATCTGGCCAACGTCACAGGTGATGCTAGTGGCTTATTAAAAAGTGATTAAATGGTTAACGTTGATTAGTTTGACAGAAGTATAAGATTGTTTTGGTTGTATAGCACCATAATTCAAAATCTGACGAAAAACATCTCTACTTTGTTTACCGATCAACTATTTCAGCAGCTTCCTAGCAGTACCCTATTAGACTAGTGTCTAAATTAAAAAAACCCACATCTGTCACTTTCAAATGATTGCAGATAGCCATTGAGTTTTGTTTACTTATTTATTCGTATAAATATAATCATTTGTAGGAATAAGTACAAAAATCTCTTGATAGATGAAGTATGAAAATTATTTCTTCCATTACTAGGCTTTATCAAGTATGACTGCAAATTTAACATCTAGTGAATCTACGGAAATCAATCTAAAAAATTCTGCCAATCAATTAAGGAATGCAGATTCAGCTGATGTTGCCACTCGAGTTGCAATGGTTAGTTGACAAGTCATTTTTGACTTTTTTATTTAAATAACGTTTATTTCATATTGACAGTTTATTGAAAAGTGGATTACATCAGAAAAAAAACTCAACTGGAATCAGTCAAAAAACTTTTATATTGGTTGCTCCTTTGAATTTTTTGGACACTGATCTGACTGTTAAATCAAGAGCTATAGAACTTATATCCTGAATGTTTAGTTCTCAGTAATATACTTGAAAATATATGAATGCCCATTCTTTACTCACTAGATCATCATTGTTGAGGCTGGAATCTTTAGGAGGATAGTATAAGCTCGATTGAAGAGTATTTTATATTGAATTACTTTATTGTATTTAAGATTCCGTTATCTATTCCACTGAAATTTCGATTTGCACGTCTATAGATTGGTCATAATACAATATTATTAAAAAGCATATTTATGTCAATTTTTATTAACACGTCAAAAGGAACTAAAGAATCTCATTAGTTTAAATGAGTTTTATTTTGAAACGTTTTAACTGTGTTTTGCAATGTCAAGCAATATCATTGATGCAGCGTGTCAATCGGATATTGACCACAGGATAAGCGCACTCTATTAGCCAATATCTGCTTTCCTTTTTTAAGGGACGAAACATAGGTAATTGTTTGAACATACGGCTTTAATTTCTAAGAACTGATCACATATATATGTATATATGAACTAGTATACAGATATCCCTCAATTCGATTTAGCCAGTAAAGCTTCTTCCTCGCTTCCAGTCTTCTAACTCATGTTGCCTGTTGAGTTGGGTCATAGGAGGCTTGTGTATCAGTATAGAAGATGGACACCACAAAACACGGCAGTTAGTTTACCATACTTAAGGAATTTATACTAAAGAAACAAACGAACGGTAAGTAGTTTTGTTACTGTCAGTATGGTAAATTACCGTTTATTTCGGTTATATCCCTCTATTAGTCGTTATATGTGAAAATTATATTTGAAATATTCTCAGCGATTGAAAGTTAATTAATTTCAACGTTTCGTCCAGCTAACTGGTCTGAACTTCTTCAGGATAATAATCAAAATCAAAATCATCAAAGAAATATATAGCTTTTTAACAATCAGAATTATACTGTGTTAAACCAATCATATTTGGAAGTTGATTTTTTGTAAAATAGGATAAAATGAGTCAGTTAACTACAAATCATGTGAAGAATTCAACTACACGGAAATACTTAACTGAGTTTCACAAGTTGAAATCATGAGTCACTTGAAGCTAGACCACCATTGAAAACCTGGAAGCACTGGACGGCCGTTTCGTCCTGGTGTGGGACTCCTCAGCAGTGCGCATCGACGATCCCGCACCACGCGGGTAACAAATCGTATGTGTGTGAGTGTGTAGGTATGTATGTGTGAGAAATTGATATGAAGGAATAAATAAAGTTCAAGTTTAAGGATGAAAAATTTATAATGAATCATCGATGTACATGTCAAAACATAAATTGTAATGTTGAAAACTCATTGAATTCATTCAAAAATAATAACGATGCATGTGATGTAAAACGGGTTTCGAATTTACTTGTCAAATGAAATTTGCCAGGTATTTGCCAGTTGAATATCATCTTTTCGGTTCAGGCTGTTCTTGTTCGCCCATATATGCAGTGCTTCTTCTGTCAATCTTTCTTTATGGGTGTTAAAACCTTTCTGAAGTATTTTGGTCCCTTCAAAATTAATCTTGTGTCCTGTTTCTAACGCATGTAACGCTATCGCTGACTTATTTTCAAGTTTCTTTAAATCTACCGCTGATTTTGGTACATTTTTCAAGCATTGTTTGTGTTCCTTCAATCTTAAAATTCAATTGTCCGGATGTTTCTCCAACATAGGTAGCATTACAGTCATGACAGTGAATCTCATACACAATGTTCTGTTGTTCTTCCTTTGCTACCTTGTCCTTAACTTTCACTAATGTCGATCTTAATGTGTTATTCGCTCTAAAATACACTCTTATATCATGTTGGTTTAGAATCCGTATGATTTCTTCTGATGTTTCACTACGGTAAGGTATGACTACGGTGTACTTCCATTCTTTTCGTATACTTTCTAGTTTAGTTTTTCTTTCATTTTTAATAATCTTCTTTAAAAACCATTTTGGGTAGTTGTTATCCCTAAGAGTAGAAAATACTCTATCAGTCAGTTTTCAACTACCATGACTTAAGCTTATAGATCCACTTTACGATAATTACTGCATAAATATCACTTTCCTACTAACACATTGGTCAGTTGAATTTCTAATATTTTTATGTTTTTAATCATCTTACCAAAATTCTAACTAATCTGTCTCAGTAACCTTGTTCGATTTGTCGGTTGATTACAATCTCATCATATATTTATTCCTCAGAAGTCATCATTACTTTCAGAAGCAATTACAACACAAATCAAACATTATTACTTACCATGTAAATACTTTATCGATCACTGAAAGTTTTCAAAATTCAGCTAGGTGATTTACTTTTAATTCATTCAAGAATAATAAAACACTTTTAGTATCCAATTATCCAGTAGTTTCCAGAAAGTGTGAAGATTGGTATTCTGTAGCTACATTTATAAAAATTTATTCACTGTAGAATATTAATCACAAATACCCGGATTTATTCTGGATTAGTTTTGTTCCATGGAACACAGTTGCTAACTAAAGACTGTGTTTCATATCTGTAAATTTCAAGTTCATTTATTTGTTTTACTGTCTCCCATATCGATCAAATAAGAGCAAATAAGACAAGAGTTCTGCATTTATTGAGGCTTTACATATGCTACCCAATAAATGAATTATACTCATTACATTAGTCATCTTAATTATTGACATTATGATAAAACTCACAGACTAAAGTTACCTACTTAAAATATCATTAAGGCAGAATGGGTTTTGTGGAGAGTTTAAGAAATTTCACAGGTTGAAATCATGAGTCAGTTGAAGCTAAACCACCATTGAAAACCTGGAAGCACTGGACGGCCGTTTCGTCCTGGTATGGGACTCCTCATCAGTGCGCATCCACGATCCCGCACCATGCGCGGCTCGAACCCAGGACCTACCGGCTTCGCGCGCTAGCACTTAACCACTAGACCACTGAGCCGGCATGCAACGGTGTTAATGTCTAACTTCAACCAATCCACGAAGTTGCGCCACCGTACACCATTGTCTTCAGTGAGTTGTTATCTCACAACAGACCAGTTGAACTCCACTGGTAACGGCTTCTCACTAGAACTCCGTCCAGTGCTTCCAGGTTTTCAATGATGGTCTAGCTTCAACTGACTCATGATTTCAACCTGTGAAATATCATTAAGTAGCAATGTAACATAAGAAGAAAAAATATTCGAATATTAATTTAGTTTTCAATTATTTACTTATAATTTATAATATATATTTTCTAGCAGTGGTTTAAAACAGACTGATCAGAAATAAGAAATATTTCACTGATTTTCTCCCATTATTTATGTATATTTGTTTTCTATTTTACCGGAAAACATTTCAGAAAAAAATATTTGAAATTTTCTAACCAAAGGATTTAATGGTTATTGAATAATGCAGCATCACCTAACATTCAGTTAAAATCAATGGAGAACTAATTTTATTTTAAACTGGTGTTTCAAACAACTCAAAAGGATCATAAGTAGTTAAAGTTGGCACCATGAAGCTCATTCTTAATGAGTTGTTCTTAGAAATTTTCCTTAAATACCTATGGTTTGAGATGCAATAACAATTATGTTTTCCTATTTATCGGTGCATAAGTGTTAAAACACTTGGAAGGTTCATGTATACCTTCATTGTTGATTTTCTGTGTGAGTTAATAAAAGGAATCTGTGATTTGTCAATGAAAGCAAAGAAATAATTTACATTTCTGCCTCTTCATATTTTGTCATAATATGCTCTTGTTCTAGTCATATCAATGGTCATATAAGTGAATGCGAGCATTTCTCGTAACTCTTACATAATAACAGTTTCCATGTATTAAAATATTACATCTAACAATGACTTATACCATTTTGGATTAGTTCTTCGATAGGACATCTTTTTATTCAAATGTCTTTTTTTTATAACATTTGTTGCAGTTAGGTAGCCGATTACTGTAACATTCGAATGTTTATCTTTTTTACTTTCGTGTATTTTATTCTTATAATTTTTTAGGTACGATTTTTCAATTCCCTAAACGTACTAGGCAATATTACTGAGCATACTAGAACTATTCGTTTATTCCCTAGGCCAGTGGTTGCATTTCAAAAATTCTCATTCTTAAAATCACGTCAGGTACTTACACCATTTACTAGGAAATTAGCTGACACACAAGTGAGTCTTCTCATATTCTTAATGTTTTATGTTGATTTTTGGTTTACATTTTCATATACACATTTGCCAGATGTAACTTTGGAGTGAATGAAAGCACTGGAAATTTTGTTTGCCAACGTTTCAAATAATAAATGTAATAGTAATATTGCTATGACAGTTAGGCATTTATTCTATTGGAGAGTTAATAGTCTGTAATTGTCATATTACCTAATCGTTTTTTTTATTAAATGACTCCTACTGATGTTCATCATTATGTCGAATATTTTCCATATAAGTGTGTTATTTTGTTTGGAAACGAACCTTTTCTCCTAGACTACTATTTTGTCTTTTGATATCAATTTAATCAAGTGCTTACTTAAATAACTTGGTCCCGTGAATATTCAGCAATCTGCCACATATTATATCACAACTAATTAGCGTTCCATCTATATATCAAAAGATTATTAAACATCTCTTCATAAAGAAATGAAAAATCTTACTCCACTACAAATATATACTAATTTGTATAAATTAGGTAGTACGTTGTACATTGATATATTATAGATAATTAGTGAGATAAACATATTTGATTGCCTTTACCATATTTTTTTAGCCTTCATACATTCCAAAAATGTTATTTAATTATTCATTTCATTCTTCTAAAAAATACAATTTTTCATCATTCTAGATTTTTATAATCTGAACATTTATAACAACAGATACAAATGAATTGAAATTAACCACATTGCACAAGTGATTACTATCTTGACTCAGTAGCCAAGGAGATTACGCATTGAATGTTTGGAGCAAAAGCCACTAGGTTCGAGTTTTGGTGTAAAAATCCACACTAGTAGAGATACATCTAGCTGAAGAGCCCCGACTCGAACGAAACGCAGATCCTGGATCCCATTACTAGCTACCATTCAATTGTAGTTCAGATGCTTATAAATTAATGATAACACTTACATAATTTGCATAGAATGCATATATGTTTATAACATCAATCGAAGGATTCAAATAACCAATTCATATGAATTTCTACGTTGTTTAAATTTATATTCACAAGTTTTTTTGAATTCTTTATTTCGTGAAGTTGTTTCGAAAAACTCGATACTAAAGCTTTAAAAAACTTATTTGATGTTGTTTATAGAAAATAAGACAGAGTTGATCAATATAATTTGGGGACGCGAATTATACATGTTATGTAAGCCAACCTAGCCTGGAGTATCCTACATTCTCCTTCGCTTTTAAGCAAGTGATGTTTTACCATTTCTTTTCATCACACTATTTCCACTGTTTATGTTTTATTGATATTATTACTTTTTACAAGGCAGTTGAATTCTTCGCTGAATGGTGCTTATATCCTGAAAATGAAGTATTTCAACGAATTCATGCTGGAATACATGATCCTGAACAAATTGGTGATAAAGGAATATGGTATCAAGATAATTTAGCGCAAATCAACTTTCAAATTTGGTCTTCAGAGCAGACGAATCGATATTTGGCTCTAAATTTTATTCATTCAGTTATTGCAAATAGTAGTAAGTGATTGGGTGCCAATCTGAACTAAGAACTTGCGAATTTGTATGCAACAGGTCTTGTTTTGTAATCACTAGTCGACCTGAGGGCACTGAATAGCTGTTCTACCTGAGTGTGGGATTCCTAAAGTGTCCATCCACGACCCCGCTGGTGGTCGAATTTGGGATTTTCAGTACCACTCCCTAGCGCATAACGTTTAAGGTACTGATCCAACCTAATGGTCCAGTGCTTTCAGAATTTCGGTAGTTGTCTAACTTAGGTTAGTTTGCTACTTAAATAACATTCAATATTTTTTATAAACCCCAATTCTGTGAAACTATTTTTCATAATTTTCTTAACAGTGACTGAACGTTTTCAATACTAATTCATGACCATATGTTAATCTTCACAAGGAAATACGTCCAGTGTTATGATGTGATACTTCAAATTCTATGCTGAAGACTATATTATTCTTCAGTTTCTTAGCATATAATAAGTAACTTGATATATCACCAGTGTTAACTGTTTATTGTTGCATCCATTTTGAATTGATCATTGAAATTCTACAGTTATTTGTATTATGTTCATAACTTTATTTCGGCATTAATAAATAATAGTGAACATGATTTTAGAAAATAAGTTTTGGAGTAATTGTTTTCACCGTAAGATTATATATACAACTAATAATGGACGTCATAGCCATATAATGTGATAGCTTGTTCAGACACCTCTTTTTCATTTGTACAGATATTGAAATAAACATTCCTATGCTTTAATTTGTTTGTATTGTATTATTGTGAATGCACACCGTATTGTCTACTTACAAGTTGTCATAAAAGATTTTTTATTAACTAAACTTGTTAGCATTTTTGTTTTATTATTTATTGTATTGAAAAACGAGTGAAAATTGTACTACAATTCATGTCCCTTATATATCATAAATATAAGAAAAGTAATTTATGCAACTAAACTTGAAGAAAACTTATTATTGAAGTTAAATTTCTGTTAATGAACATTTATAAATATTTATACATTCCGTGATCAATGGATTCCAATCTGTGTCGGATGTGAGACAGTTATCCACTTCAAAAAATGGATGAAGGGTTGCATAACATCACAGTCAGATTGAAGTTTGACACTAACACGTTTGAACACTGGCTCAGTGTTTTAGAGGTTGAGTGTTTGCGTGAGAAACCGAAGATCCTGGGTTTGAGTCCCGTGCGTAGGATTGTGCATGTGCATTGCTGAGTAGTTACATACTAGGATGAAATAACCATATAGTGCTTTCGAGGTTTCAGTAGTGGTCTAGCTTAGATTGACTCGTGGATTCAACTGTGGAAAATCCTGACTTAAATACAGGTTAAACCTAAATTTATTGCAGTATTACGCAACTAGTGATGAGAATTCCTTATTGTCATGAAATTTATAATAGTCAATAAAGCTATTCTATTTATATCGAAAGCGATGATAATTATGTTTCCCTTTTATACATAAATAACCAATTAGATGATATAGAAAACTTTGAAATGGTACACGAGAACTTTCCTAAATTTAATACTACCACTAATAATAATATCGTGTATGATTTAATGAGTTTATATAATCCACCTCATAATATGGATGATTTATTAAAAAATGCCATACAACCACAACAGTATATGCGTAAAAATAAGCCTAAAAGACGGCCTAATCAACAACAATTACAACCGATGGATTCATTCGATCTTGCTAATGCTCAAATGCAAAAGACTAATTCTACTGAAAATAATGAAATTGAGTTGAATAAAAAAAAATTACCTGGTCAACTATTGACCATACCATCAATGGCTGAATCTACCAGTGATTCATCTGATGATCAGGTGAGTTACAGAACTATTTTTGATTGTTTAAAAATCATTTTCCCCTTCGTAAATACTAAAAATAGTAATTCCGTAAGACATTTTACTCAGAAGACTATAGGCTTGGATTGTATGTAAAGTAACGATCTTTACTATCGTCGTCACTATTCCCTTTTAGAACTTTTGTTATTATATTGATTCCAGTATCTTTCAAATGTGTAAGTAGAAGTAATCCTACATATAAGCAGTCTGGACCATATTAAATTCTATTTAATGTAAACCAACAGGTACAGATCTATGTGCTTGCCTTTGGATCACACTTTGTGTGTGAGCTAATGATACTACCCGGTGTTGCCCAAATGCGAAGTAGGTGGGACTGGATTCAAATCAAGGACCTAATGGTTGAAAGTTGGACACCTTGGCCACTAAATCACTGGTACACTTAATATGAAACATCTATAATGTGAAAAAGAATCAATTTAATCTATACAGATATTTCACTTATTGAGTAGTAAATTCGATTGTTGTGTACTTTGTTCAATGTTTGCTAAAGTAAAACTGTATAAGTGTTCATCACAACTTAGTGATATATACAGTATTTAATTTTTTTATTCTTAATGAAATTGATCATTCAGTATCTGAATGTTAAATTATGAATAAAGTTTCGGGATGATAGAGAATAATTGCAGCTTGGGATAAGAATGTTGAAAGTGTTGAGCTCTGTAAGTTCGATGGTTGGGTAGGGAAGGTTCCACTGTCTTTCTAGATAGTATCATCAGCTTATACTTCTTGTAAGAAGTAAGCTGGTATAGTTTCCTCAAAAACTGATAGGAATTTAATTAGTTCCAGGTTAATAGAGGAGGTTGTTAATGAAGTGTGAAAAACTCAGCCTATCTATTTTTGATTCACATACTGATGATAACATTTCGAAAGATAAAAAGATCTTCATGACTAAAACATCTAGCTCAGACAGGACAGGACTATCCTGACAAATCAAGTTCTTTCCAATTTATTTGAAGTAAACTGCTATTTCCCAATCAGTTTAATATTATATACTTGTTGTTCACACTTTTCCTTGTTAACTCGAAATAAACAGAAAAATCACAATTTTTGTTACGTTCATTTCTCACAAGCCGTTTACAATCTACAATAATCCAGTGTGAAAACTATAAATGATGTTTAGCATAATTTTTATATTATTGAAGTTGATCATAGGTTAACGCAGGTCAATAGAAAACCCTGATTGATTTAGGTCACACACTAGTTGGCATTCCTTTTCATAATGTATTTCTTATCTTGGGGAAAGTGATAGACCCTGGTGGGTCGGAATTCGAATCATTCAGTTTCAAAATTTAAGACATTCCTTGTCGACCATATTCAATCATCTAATTTCACAACATGGCGCATACAGTTCAGAGTCGATTAGACTACTGGCTACACTGTAACTTATTCGATGGAATTTTATTAGCACTAAAAAAGACTCGTCAACCACAAAATCAGTCACAACTCAGTGATTAGTCAATAAAAATTGTTATCAAGATGAAAAAAGACTGACAGTTGTTCCCTTACATCAACATGCTACTTACGACTCAGCGAATTGATAACCAGAAATTTAGAGAAATTGAAAACACTACAGCATCATTGTTATTTATTTATCTTGAGTGATTCCAAGGTCCACTACAACTGAATTTCTTATAATAATAAAATGTATAAGATATTGCACATAATGTATATTGAAATAACACTTAATTATGTATTATTTTTAAATAATTGATAAGTCTTGCTAATTGAACACTATATTCGGTTCCTAAGCTCTTCTAGTAACCCCCAAACTAGAACTACACAGCGAAATGAACATGAAAGAAAAGGCGCAAAATATACATAGAAAATTACTCTGAAGGTTCATTTATGTACAGAAAATATAGGGTTTTTATAATATTTTAGATGTTCTTGGTTTTTCCCGTAACTTCTAAAATGCTACTAAGCATAATAGTAGTGTAGTAATCATCCGATCGGAAACTCGAAATGTGACTTTCCAACTTCTAAATGTTTCTGGCAAAACTTCTACTGAACGCTGATTGGACAAAATGCTTCTCAGTGTTTTCAAAGCCTTTCTTAGCTTTTTTTTTTCGAGTATTCTGGATCTGCCCAACAACAATTTTAAAAATGTACTTTCATTTTTATTTTATTCTAGGATGATTCAGATATTTGGGATTTAAAAGACTCTGTCAGTCAGTCTAATATTAAAGAAAATGTAAGTTAAAAATCTTTTTTCTTTTGTTTAAACCTAAATCAAGACTTAAATTTAATTTAGAAATGATAAATCTTTTTTTATTTATTTATGCGTTTACGTTTAAAAGGGATGGACTCAATCACAACTGTAACATATTTATTTTATTAATTATTATACATTTTTGTTTTGACATGTCGGTGTGTTAATGTCCACAGCGAAAATTTTGTAGAATCAAGTTTAGTTGTTTACCTTTTAGACTGAACTGATATAAGTAATATAAATAATAACAAGTGATTGATCACTAAGTATTGGTCAATATTACTTATGTCAAATCTTTCGTAGTTTTGAATGAATGCTGACGATCAAGATGAAATATAACTACAAACCTAAGTCACTAAACATCATGTGGACTGTATTGAGATGCAAGGAGGTAGTTGAGGGTAGTTGACAGAAAATTCTGGGACCAGGTTTCGTGCTATTTTGGATTTGTCAGAAAGGTGTAGCTATAATCTTGAGGGAACTGATATTGACTATCTTCTATCATTACCTTACATAATAGGAATAATACGAAGTTCACATAGGTATCTTTGCAAGTAAGAATTAACCCTTACTACATCACGTGGAGCTCCTAAATTGTAGCGTTATTACTTACCCATTTACTTCCTTACGTTTGTTACCCCCAATGAAGTATAGGCCGCCAACCAGCATTCTCCAACCCACTCTGTACTGAGCCTTCCTTTCCAATTCTACCCAATTTTTGTTCATTCTTCTCATTTCTGTCTACATTTCTCTGCGTAACGTGTTCCTTGGTCTTCCTCTTCTCCTTTGGCTTTAAGAATTTCATGTGGGGGCTTGCCTTGTGACACAGTTGAGTGCTTTCCTCGATGTTTGTCCTATCCACTTCCAGTGCTTCTTCCCCCGCTGGGGTCTGGTTTGTTCTATCCCATAGTATGTTCTTTCCGATAGTGTCTGGCCAACGGATCGGATGTATTTTGCATAGACAATTGTTAATAAATACTTGTATCTTCTGGATGATGGCTTTCGTAGTTTTCCAAGTTTCCGCTCCATACACTAGAACTGTCTGGACATTTGTATTGAAAATTCTGACTTTGGTGTTGGTTGACAGACAGTTGTTTTGAGCTCCAGGTATTCTTCAATTGTAGATATGCTGTTCTGGTTTTGCCGATCCGCGCCTTCACATCTGCATCAGACCTACTGTGTTCATCAATGATGCTACCCATATATGTAAAGGTTTTTACACCCTCCAAAGCTTATTCGTCAAGTGTGATTTGATTGGTGCATGTTGTGTTGTAACGGAGAATCTTGCTTTACCCTTTGTACATTTTGAGACCCACTGCTGCTACACTGGTCGTCTTCCCTTGATATTTCAATTTATTTATCCACCATTTTACCAAATAAAAGTAAAGTATTTTAAAATGACTCAATTGACTCTAGCGTAAACTTTTAGCAACGTTACTTACTTCGGACTAAGCTATTCATTGATACTGTAGTTCAGAATCACAATGAAAAATCAACAATTAAACGATCCAACACAAGCAAAAGGTAAAAATCGCATCTTTTCATGATTGCCCTTTATTCATTGAAACGTTCACGAATACATACAAATGATGACAAATGTCATTATTTTGTAAACATACAAGGGAGAGACTATAATTTATGGATAACCTTAGACCAAATCATACGTGACCTTGGAAAATATTAGCCAATCAGAAAACACTTAGTATAGAGTAAAAATATACAAAACCAAAAAATTAGAGTGAAGGTTAGAAAGTGGTTAGAGGTTCCGAAATCGTAATGCATATAATAGGGGAACTCATTCTTATGACTCCATAATAATCGAGCTCTGGAGCCATGACAACATAAATTTAATATTGTTTGTATGCACTCCAGTTGTTAGATCCACAAAATGCCGCTTGTGGACAACGACACGATGCACATAACCAAGACTATGTAGGCATCGGTACGCTCTCCAATCACCCCAATATATTGTAGTACTCGGCTGCACATATTCTCGTATAATTTTTATTATCGTTGTAGCCTGTCGGTTTTTAATCCTTTAGAATTTTCCCTTTTGAGATGACCTGTCGTATATTCCAAGGACCTTTGAGGTACATCTATGGAAGAGCTACTTACCCAGATTTCTTTAACACTACGTCCTCTGTTAAATTTTTGTTTTTTGACATCGGTTCTCCCGACTACCCCAAATGACTCGTGTAAGCTTGTTATTTTTACTGAGCATATATTTCTACAATACTCATACATCTTAACAGCCGAAGCTTCAGTAACATCTGCAAATGCTGCAACCAGTGTTATTGGTGCTTTTATTATCCAGTTCTCAACAATTATCATAATTTGCCTTAGTCTCTGTTGGGGACGGTATATCCCCAAAATTCATATTTGTAATTTTATCATATCGATTAACTTATTGATTAAATATTTGAAGGCCTGTCGATTAATGAACTTAATGAGTCATGTTTAAAAAAAACATTTTACTATGACAAATCGATTATATATATATGTATATATATATATACGTTTAAAATTGTGTTTGAGTGCTCGCTTGCTTACTCGCTCGTTTCCTGGCTGTTTGCAGAATATATTTTCCATACCAAGCTCGGACTTCTCCATCTAAATAGCGGGGCTGGGACGCATCAATAACTAGGTTACTGGTCTTTGGTCACTGAGTTTTGTTCTCGTTCGCAGATTAAGTGAACTCGTGAAGCTTTCAAACCTAATAGTCTCAATCTTCATCGAGCGAAAAAAGTCCCTCTTTTAGCAGACATCTTCCTTCAACGTATATTACATCGAAAGACAATATCACGGTAGTCTGCACAAGATTCAAGAGTCATTTAATTACCATAATACCAAAAAAACGAACTTCTTAGTAAGCCCATTTGTTGTAGCCGCTCATCTGTATTGTCTTCTCTAAAATCCACTGTGAACTAGTCGTACGTGAGCATCAGGTACTGAAATTGTCACAATGACCTCGGAATACTTCGAACGTTTCTGATTGACTCGTTCATAAATTATAGTCTCGCCGTGGGTCACATGGAGTCACAAAACATTAGAAAGTCTGCTTTTTACTGATTGAAATATTACAAATACATTCTTCTTCTTTCTGTGATATTGTTGTGTGGTTTGAGCTATACTGACATTACTGTGGATATAAATGGAGTATTAAAATATTTTATGCCTACACGATATGATACAATATGATGGATAAGCTGAATGGTGATCGAGGTTATACTACTATTAGACTGAATAGAAGAATCACGACGAAATAATAAAAAACCAGAGTATTGACTAAACGACGCAATTATAAACAGTCTACGCTCAGAGTAGAAACCAGTAATTAGAAAGAAAGTCATATATTTAATAGTCCGTAAGCTGAGCTTCTGTCCATTCACACTCACTGGTCAGTCACATTTTCTTTCACTAGTCTTACATCATTCCGGATAACATTATCAGTGAGCCTACCTCACGTGTAGGATGACTATTTTTCAATTCAAATGTTATCATTGAATTTCACTTGTTATTTACTTGTGATCATGTGTTTTTGTTCTTATCGTCGTCACTAATGCAATTGTGTAATTTAATTTCCATTTCTATCTTCTTCCAAATTTCTCTTATCTTACAGCCGAATGAGGTTACACATGAGGATGATATGATAAGGTAATAATTTAAATTTAAACAAAATTACGATAATTTCATTTAAATAAACTTAGTCATTTGTTGTATTCAACGATGAATTTGTTTTGTTACTGTATTACTGAAGAATTTCAAGTGTTCTATTAACCAAAGTTAATGAGTTATAAGCAGTGTGATTACTTGTGTATGGATGCATCAGTTACCGCAGCGCATCTGCGCAAGGCGAAATTATCAAGATGAATACAAAAGTAGTAGAATTAATAAAAAACCAAGTTAAATGAACTCATTGACTAGGTATCTTGATAAGAGGCACAACCGAAGTATGGACGTCAATGCTGCTACTTCGTTTTCCTAACTAAGCGCGACTCAGACTTGGGAGTTAGTGATCGATAATCGAACGCATTAATTACTAAGCTATTAGTGTTGGTAAGAAAAAATATTAGGTATAGACAGTATGATCCAAGAAGAATGTATGAATTTGTCAAATGAAAAGTATAGAACAATTTCAAACTCGAGATAAAGAATGGATGCATCTGGATCATTATGACCGATTCTGAGCCATGATACACCACGTTTCTAACTAATGCATATGTGATAATCGAGAGAGACCGAATCTAGTAGTGTGCATCTACCTACACGTTCGAATTCAACGGTCGATGACTTCATCGAATGACGTCATTGTCTCGGTGTTGTAAATCCTAGCTTTCTTCTAACCTGATCCTAATTTTCTTCACTGATCGGATTTCGTTAACCAAAATTTAATAATGGTTAACATCTTAATTGATACGTCATTATATTAGGCTGTATATGTACAGTTTCGAAGGTGATCAATGAAAACTGTGTTTTAAACAATTGTCTTCAACCCCAGAACGGTGAGTATTAATGTATTGCTATATTGAACACTTACCATCAATCTTACATTTATATCGAAAATAATCACATATGCTAAAATGGTACCAAGTTATTCCATCCTGCTAACACACACATTGTTAGTTCTTAACGACAGAATGAACTGTAGTTTAATAAAACGGTTTCAATAGTGTTGTGTTCTCTTTCCTGAATAATCTTTTAATTAAAAAGTATCTTTCTATGTAATGTCAATCTTATCAAATTACATTTGAAATGTAAACCATCGTCTGAAAGAAGATGAGATCAGTTAAAGACTGCATCGATATATACATATATATGTAGGTTTCAGTTTGATTCCCGTATTTCAATACCGTTTTTAATTGATCTAATTTTCTCAGACGATACATTAATTAAGCTTCTGACTATTCAATTTACGACATGCCGTACTTGAAATAATTAATTTAAATTTGTGTGTTTGATATTTTATTAACAAATGTGTGGTGGTCTAGCTTCAACTGACTCATGATTTAAATCTGTGAAAATGTGTAACTGTGAATTACATTATTTTTCATAGATGGAATTCTTATGATTATTAAGTTAAATAACTAATAAGAATGTACTTATGATAATTTTCGTTTTAATTTTGACATTGGTTTTTACCTTTCTATGTTATTTCTCATAGATCTTGTTTGTTGCTAAATCCTAAGAATATATAACTATTCTCATGTAAACTATGTTCCATACTTGCCTCATTCCAACTCAATGATTAGACATGTCTGAAGTATTATTTTCTCATTCACTGTATTTTTTGTGCATTTAGTAAAAAATTATTACTCATGTGACTTCCCAGAAATAAGTCACAGTACATTGATTGACCAATGATTAACAGTCAATGCCACGTTTGTTTTGTCATTAGTGCCCATCGAATTCCGTCTAAATCGTTGAGACACAGAAACTAGTATCTGTGATTGGATATCATGTGAATCATACTTTGATATTCAGTAGTTTACAGAAAACCCTAGACTTATTTTTTACGCTAGATGGTGGCTCGAATGGCTGGATAGTGCTGTCTGAAACTATGAAACTGGATGATCCGAATTCACACTTACCGTGGAGCATTAGTTTCCTTGAGATTGCCTACATGCTTTGCTGGTGAATGTTGACTACCATGATACCTAGGTGCAGGGTTTCTTGTCAACCTGCAACCACGTTAATCCAAAAAATGGTGATACGATGTTCAGCCATATTGACTGGTGTTCACAATACAACTTGATCTATACAAATTTATTAGTATTGAGGGACTAGATCACCATTACATTAACCATTGCTCAATGATCAGTTCGTGTAGACGAACCCATTCCTTATTATTATTACTGTGAAATATTTTCGGTCACTTGTAAATTCTTTTTTTGCCAATTTCCCTATTTTTTCCGTTAAATTCATATATTTCTACGGTCGTCTTGAGTATGGATGGGGGAGAATAAAACTAACACCCTTTTCTATATGGTTTGATATTTCTCATATTAATAATAATAATAATAGTTAACTCTTATATTTTGACAACGACATTTAATTATTTGACTAGATAACAATGTTTTATCGTTCTTGTTATTTCTCCTCATAGGGATAAAACGAATAATACAAATCATATACAGAACATTGAAAATAAACTAATATTAACGAATACTCCTAATGTTCGTAAGTTAAAATCAAGTTTACGCGAGTTAAATAGGTATTCACCCTTGATCAACTATGGATAGATCATAGATCAGTTGGTAAAATTTAAACTCCTCAGTATTGAACATATAATTTGAATCTTGTTACTTAGTGGAGTTTTCTCGAACTACAGTCAATAATTTTTTAACGTTAAAATTTATATCTCATTACTTTGAGCATTCTTTGGAAGTGTAATTATACGTGTATATCTTTGTACTGTTCCATTGTTCCGATTTTTTGAAGATTTGACTTTTTTTCTCTATTAATAATATCAAACCGTCGATCACAAATCTTGTTTTAAAAGTGTCTCAGTAATGAATCCTATAAATTATTCAGTTTTTATGGCAAAACATGAAAGTGATGAACATCATTTTTCTTAAACACAGATAATTTCATTAAAAGAATACCATCTTCATAGTCTTAGAGAAAGATAAATTTAGCATTAACGAAGTAAACAACTTAATGAAGGCTGTCTTCATAGTGATAAAGCGGACATTAGTTGATAGGATAAGAGCCAAACAAATATACCCTGATTTCAGGTCACTTATACTATTGGTCATATTACTACGTGGTCCATTAGATGTAATCAGAGCATTTAAATGAGTTTCTGGAAAAGTTTGTCCAGTAGCTAAGATTTTGTGATGTGATAATTTCTAGGGAGGAAATGATAATTTTGTGGTAAAACTCATACTACTAACAAGTAGGTTGTTTTTTTGTCAGAAATATTTGCCGTATTTTAAGTTTAGTGTGGATTTGGTTTTAGGTGATTTATGTAGTGGAACGATCACATCGGGGATCGAATCAATTATTAGTTCTTCTGTATAGTCAATATGAGATGTGTCTCAAAACTCTTTAATCCAATCTATCAATTATTCCTGTGTATATGAAGATTTAATTCTACGTCATGTCGTACACAGTACAGATTCTTCAATTCAACGCATAAATGTGATTTTACGTGTGATGTTCTTCATAACGGACAGAATTTACCAGGGTTCTAACCTGTTAGTCAGTGATCAAATTCTACAAGAGTTAAGCGACAATTTCCAACAGAATCAAGAATCATACTAAAACCCTAATCAGTTAGAAGAACCTTAAACGACGACTGACAGATGAAATACGATACAGATGTTTTATATTCGCTTTACATCCTGGTGTGCTGGATCTACAATTTTATTGTTTTGTTCATAAAGACGGTTTTATTTTTAGTCGTATTACAAATAGGTAGCCATATTTAATGTTTTGTTATACTATTAAAAAGAAAAAGTTAATTATTCATCAGTAATATACCCCTAAGTTACTTAAGTTTATGTTATTGACATTTGATCCACATTGTTTTTCGACCGTTTTTACTACTTCAAGCTATTCTACGCAAGCCTTCTTTACGTAAAGTTTCCACTACTCAACAAACTGATTATACTAATACTGAAATGAATAAAAGATCTGTTCATTATAATGAAGAACAGTTAGTACAAGTATTGAATAAAGATTCAATAAGTTCTGGGGATAAAATTGATCAAGATGAGGATGCAGATGGAGATGAAGATGAAGAAGTAGCAGCAGAAGAGAAAGAAGAAATGGAGGATGACGAGGATGATACAGAACAAACATCTGTAGGAAAATATTTATTAAATAATTTAAGTGATAATCTAGCCGATGCTGCTAGTCATGCTAGCACAACTTTATCAGGTTTACTGAGTACGTTTTTTTTCTTTTTTTTACTCTTGATTATATAATTTGTTTGAATCGTCAAGGTTCGAATTATCGTTTTCTGATATTGATTGCTGAGTTTTGACTAATCACAGATCTCACCACTAACCTTAATTTATCTGCTCTGTAACAAATGTCTGTTTTATGAACATTAGTTAGATGTGTTTGGTAATATTTATGTAAATATATCTGTCTTACAGGAGTTCAGTCGCCACCCTGATAGCTCAGTGGTGAGGCTGGGTAACATGGGATCGAGTCTACAAGAGAACATCAGCCATTTCAAGATTATAGGTACACCTTACTGACGAGTGCCGAATAGCACGTAACATAGGTTCAGGGTATCCTATCGGCTACATCCAAACATCATTTTACATCTCAACATTATGCACGTGATATCGAGTCACCCAGACTAATAGACTCATTATAGCTTGGTCATAGAATTTGATCTACACTAAGAAGGACCTGATATACATAACATTTATCACTACCCAGTGATCGATCTAATGGTAATTTTGCCACTATTTTTTTCTCTAGTCCAATTTATGAAGATACAACATAGTGAAACCTACGCAATCTCAAATCTAGTAGAAATGAATTGTTCATACGTCTAAATTGAGTATGAATTACAGTGCAATTAATTATTCCCAGATACTAAATAAGAACAAATGAACGAACAACGGCTAATGAATACGCTCTATGCAATAACTACAAAGGCTTAAATCACTGATACAATGAAGTTTTTTAGGCAACCGTGATAATAAGAATAAATACCGTTTCTACTTTCGTTGGATATTCTCACTGACTATGAACTCAAATCATGAACTGTAAACACTAGACTAAACACTAACAATTACTTTGGCCACAAATATGGAAATGTTGGTACCAAAGAGGGAAAGCTATCATGATCGAACAAGAGCCATTACTTCAGCTTCATTGACAGCATAATTATACTATTTAGGTCAGAGAATTTGTAATTTACAAGAAACTTAGTATTTTTGTGCCCTGATTACGTAACAACGTGTAAAGATTACATTTACATTTACAACTATTTAGTGACATATGAATTGTAAACTAAACTTTTCTATTTATGTTATGATTTTTTTTGGTATCGATGACAGAAAATTATATTTTCGATATAATAAGATCATTTTTTCATTTTATATATTTGAAACATCGGACGCACTAGAAAACTATCATTCATATTACTTGAATGACTTTATTTTATTTCTGCGGTCCATCACTGCTAGCGTTCTAATAGTTCATTATAACTTAAGTGAAAAAATGTGTGAAACAATAGAATCCTATGGTCGATAAATTATATTATAGTTGTCATAAATTAAAGGAAAATTTATTCACATGAGGATCAATATATTTAATATAAATGACGAATAGTGATTGAACATAATGATTTTGATCTAACAGTCAACCATAACTGTTTATTAGGGTGAAATTATCCAGATGTATCCTAGAATAGTATAAGTTGTATCAGCAGGGACAGGAAGTATGACTTAAAAATAAATAAATAATACACAAAACAAAACAAAAAATAAGAAATTTCTAAAACCTAATTTTTAAGAGGAAGAAAAAGAGTGGATACATCTGCTCCATTAAGAGAGATTTCCAGGCATATTACGGTAATCGTACGAATCGTAACTGGGTTGTTTGGACCTATCAATAAGATTCGGTCTACTAGTTAGTGACTTCATGAACTGATGCTACACTTCTGTTTGGTCACTGTGAGCTTACTTCAAACTCATTCCTTCACCACCAAGGTAGGTTGTTATTGGATCTAGGCGTTACATGTTCCACTCACCTCAGTCTATGACAATTCATTAATTCAACAACCTGTTTCCCATTTTGACTTAGTATCCCTTGTCTAACCGAAGCATTACTCATTTGATGGTCCTGACTCACGCAAGCGATGTTTCGATGGCATCTACTTATATCTCATATTTCACAGCTATGCAAAAAAACAGAACAAATTCACGTTCACTATATTAATTCTTTAGTTTACGTTGTTAATATGAGATATTTTTTGTTAAACAATACTTTCTTTAGATAAACCCAAGACCATTGTACGCAAATCTGGTAGCTTAATGAAGAAAATGGCTACAGAAATTACCAGTACTACAAAAACCACTGATACTATTGGTAATAAATCAAGTTCTATAAACAAACACTTAGATGTTAACAATAACAAATCTGATGGGGACCTTATTCATTCAGCATCAAAGTTTGTTTTAAATTTTCCAAAACAACAATTTTTCCAATTCGGTGCCAATAAATCAAGACAGCAGGAAGCAGGGTTGCTTAATAAAAATAAAAATGATAAGTTAAGTTCCGGCAAAGGAGTCGATTCTGATTTTGTCAATCCAGAACAAAGGTGAGTAGAATAATTCTCTAATAAATTATACATTATAATTGCTATGTGGTTGGCAGTGCTCGACATAAGACGCTGGACCTTGGTTTTGCGCTGGTTAATACTTGTTAGCAAGTAGTACCTGTAACCTTGAGGGGACTGCTAAACCTTGTCAGAAAAAATCCTTGTCACCTAGCTTTTCAGTTTGAGGCATTACTACTGAGATAATCAGGCCACTAAAAACGCTTGTAGGAGTGAGATATTTAAAATTGGTTGGTCACTGAGTGGAGGCCACTGTCATGTTCTCCTGGTCATTTAGTGCTAATTGAAATATATCGACCGAATTGTATTGTTGCCAGTAGTCTATATCGATATCGTGTGCACTAGGCTTCGAAGTAAGTTGATTGGAGGTAGTCGCCACGACAATCTGGCCCTCTTTTTCGTGGTGTTTTGCACTTGATCGACAGAATTCGATTAGTTCTGAGGATAATACAGGCATGAGATATTTTGAGTGTTGAGAGATCGGTTAATTTCTGAATACGAAAATAGTTTTACAGACTATACCCTTTCAGATTTATAGGTTTTTCTCTAAAATTTTGGTATAATATATACTGGACAGAGTTTTGGGGCGTGAGTATATCGAGAGTTTATGTATTGAAAAATTGTATTGTAGATTAGTATTTATTTATCAAAAGAACTCCTATTACTTAGTGAGTCATTTATAAATAGTGATGCTTTTGAGACTTTAAAAGAAAACTCAAAATGTGAACAAAAAATTACTAGTTCATATGTTGTATGCAATCTACATCATCAGAAGGAGTGAGTGCACTTACTATGTACTTTTCTATTCACACCGTATCGTTCCCAGTTAATGATGTCCAAAGGAAGGAATTTTCATCGATTATTAACGTCACGGACAATACATAAATGTATTATCCTAGTCAGGCCACTTAAAACTTATTTCAAATGTTCTCAAAGTTCTAAATAGAAGTCGTGGTTGATGGATTACAAGTTTTAATTGTTCTATTGAACACTGACTAAGATATTCTAATGTTTAATCATTCGTCTTGAGGCATAAGGGTCTGATCGAATCACAGGTGTGGATTCCTGAGGATGTTTAAACTTCTCAAACGAAACAGCTATTCAGTGCTCCTTGGTTTCCATTGGTACTCTAACTTCTATTAGCCTATGATGAATACAGCCTATACGTTATCTATAGTTTTATTCAAATGATTTGTAACCAACTGTTTTGGTTTTAAAACAACATATATGAGCGGAGAATATCGTTTTCGATTCGATCCTCATCAGGCTTTAATATACTGTAATATCTATATGCATATATGAAATAATTAAAACAATCGAGGCAGTTTATTAGTCAATGATAACAGTGAAATAGATTACATAGATAAACATAATAAGTGAAAAGTACAAAGTGGTAGTGTGATGACAAGTGCACTAGTTGTGATAAGAATAATAAAGGTCGAATCAGTGTTGTGGTTTTTCTTCCCTTAGTTATGCAGATCAAGAATTTCTTCGTGAAGTAGTCCGGTATATACACGAGGGTCAGGCAAATGTTCAAATGAAATTTTCTGTCAATCGTCTAAAAGAATTACTACATGATGAAAATTACCGAAATTATTTACTATCAAAGTTAAATCGTGGACTTTCTAAATTATTTGATGATCCAGATGGTTGTATCCCAGATGTTGTAAGTTGTTGTATAGGTTTGATAACTTCGCTTTGTTATTAATTATAAATAATTTAAGCCGTAAACGACCAACCTAAGTTTAATAAGGACCAGAAATTAGGTGGCAGTTGGAAAGTATTTCCGTCTGAATACCAGAACCTTAAGGACTGTTCACCGAGGTAGCGAAAGTGGTTGTACGAATTTCTTAGGGATGCAAAGATTAGGTATGTGAACATGGATTGTAATGGCTTCCGCAGTGTGCAAAAAACGCACTCGTAAACCATGTGACAAACTTGATGGAATATGGTAGATAACCTTAAAAGCTTTATTCAGTTCAACTTGATGACCTGTGTCAACCAAGTGAGCGAAAATAGAACTCTGAATCACTCTTACCCGTTCTTTGCTTAACCCCGACGGACGGTGCTCTGTTATATGATGACGCACTTGCCTAATTGTACGTCCTACATAACTGGCTCCACAGGAGCAGTTGAATCGATAAATACACATGGATTTATCGAATTCAGGCAATCTGCCTTTATTGGTCGTTCTTATTGTGGGGTGGTTGTAGAAGATAGCACTTAGTCTGGCTGCATTAAATGTTTTTTATACCGCTTTTCTTAGTCTCTTAGTGACAATTTCTTCAATAGTGTCATTTATGAATTGTAATTTTATGAAAAATAGTAGTGTTTGAGTAAAGAGCCTTCATAAGGTTTATGTACTTCTTTCATTTGAGAAAAGAATGTTTTTTCATGTGGATTCTTTTTAGCCAATCATTAATATAAATGGATATAAATCATATATTTGGCTATTACAATGTGTAATACATGGTCTCGAACAAACATGTACAAATCATGGGATAGGTGGATTAGCTAGTGCCATGATGTTATTGGAATTATGTCATACACATTATTTGAATACAAGTACTGCAGTTTCACCTAGTAAACTTCATGGATCTCAAGTAAGTTGAATTTCTTCTTTAAAATGATTCTCTCAATATGTGCTAATTGAGATATGTTTATCGAATCGTAATGTGGCCTGAAGTCTAAGTGACTTGATTTCGTTTGCAAAATGCTTTGATATAGGTTGGTCATGAGTGGTTCACAAGAAATCTTAGACCTAAGTTTTGTCGTAGTTAGCTCTGGATTGACAGCATCTAATTAGTACTGTAGGATTACACGAATATTAAATCGTTTATAATTGGTAGAACATCCAATTGCAAGTCTTTTTATGAATAAGTTCTGGAAATAAAAATTGTTACATAAATGCTACTTCACCAAATTCACAAAATACATTAATATATATATTTATACATTAAATAAAAGCCGAAATGTTGTACATGATTTGGAAAAGTTTGTGGAGATTGGTTAGGTTATGGTCGCTTTCCATCTGAAATTGCCTTTACATGAAGAACCGTGGAATTTAAAAACTGTGGCGGTGGTGTTGTATGGTTTTGTTGTGGTTTGGAACTCTTTCACTGGTCATAATGAGAGTTCTAAAAACTTCTGTGTTAATATTACTGTGGTGTGTGTTACTTATGTCGACATAAGTAGTACATAGCACCCGTCAGAAATGAAATACCTGGCAGAAGGAGGTTGGTGAGATTGAATCGAAGAGATCGGGACCACAGAGTAATTGGAATGGAGATGAAGGAACAATGAATTTTGAGACAATTGATGGACATTTTTCAAATGAAGTATTGAACGTATGGTTTTCACATTTTACCAAAGAACACATGGGCCGTCATCGTCTGTGTAGTCGTTGATAACAATAGTAATAATGATGATGATTTTGCACTCACATGTTACTAGTTCCAAGAATTACTGAAAGTTTAGTAAGGAGAAGTGATCAGTGAAATTTAATTTCATCTGGAGTGAGAAAAATGTCATCGGCGTCTTTAAGTAGTCATTAAGCTTTACTGAAAGTGAACAATCTGTTGGAAGGGATAAATGTTCCAGGTTGAATCATTGTATCGAGTCCTAAGTAAGCATTCTTTAGCAGTTTTAGGCCCCGATGACAAGTGTTCAATGCTGGTTTTTAGCTTTTCTGAAACTAGTTTATCATATAAACTATTCTCATATATGATACATCATACTGGATTTCATGTGCCATGGGATGTAGCACACACTGTGAAAAAAATCTAGTCAACCTTCTTTGAAATCGTTCAAAATTATTTCAAACTGTAATTTTTAAGTTCAAGTAATGACTTATTTATTTTAGTTTAGACAGCCAGAAAACATCGCCACCTCTCTCATGCCAAGAGGTATAGCTCAGATAAGCATTTAAAGTTTTCTTTGTATTAAAAATATTGATTGATAATAATTTTCTCTGTCTTCTTGTTCTTACATAATTTTCAGAATTCAACAAGTCAAAATTTACAAGAAGAGGAAAATTTAGTCTCAGCCTTTAGTAAGTGCACTTAAGTTCATGATGTACGTCAATTCGGAAGGATATTTACTTTACCTGATGTTACGGTTCTTAAAACGAACGTTATGTAAAAACTAGCACTGCGTGAAACTGTTTAAAGATCAAAAAAAATAAGTGTTATAATCTTCGATTTGGAAAGATATTCTAGTCATACTTATACTTTTAATTGTGTAAATATTATATTCAGGGAGTGCTAACGACTCTTTAATAGTTCATAAGCGAATGTATTAGAAGGAATCTGTTACTTCAGTAATATATTGAATGAGAACTAATTAGCGGTAAATAACTGTTACACAATGATTCGTTACCCGTAAGTCATCTAACCAAGGTCATTCCACGATATGAGACTTCGAATTTCATAATCTTCTCAACACCCTATATATCATCATGTGCTTACCAGGTAATTCGTAGAGTTTTAGTGAGCATCCGTGTTTAATGCGATGCAATCACGTTGGGAGTGAGATGAATATCACCAATTGATTGAAGTTTAAAATAAAAACCATTGAATGCCAACCCTGTGGTCTCAAGGTTAATTACTCACCTTGAAAACTGAAGGTTCTTGATAGGTTTGAAACTATCACGAGTTCGCTTAATCTGTGGACGAGAACAAAGACCCAGTGACCGAAGACCAGTAAGCTAGCTTTTTGATGTGTGCCAGCCCCGATAACCAGTGGGAGAATTACAAGCTTGAATTGGGAAATATATTTTGCAAAACAGCCAGAAACGAGCGATAACAACAAACACAATTCAAAACGTATATAAACAGTGCAAAACCGTCCCTGGAGAGAGTTACCAAATAGCATACTAAAAGACGCAACGGACCAACAGCATTTAAGATATTTCCCAGTGGGAAATACGACATGAAAGTGAGAAGAGTGCCTTTGGCGCGAAAACCGAGAAATTCAAATGTTCTAAATAAAATTACAAAATTAGGTTGTTTCCCAAGTGAGTTCTGGGGATCTAACTTCCCCAACAGTTCTGGATTCAGTTCCTGATGGAGTTGTGGGTATGCACTACAGAGCACTTTCACGTTTGAACGAAACAATTGTTCATTATTTCTTGGCTTTCAATAATTGTCTGATTAAAGTAAGTCACTGATGTGAAATTTCAAATTTAGCACTCTCCACAACCACATGTTATTATAGATTAGCACTCTCTATTAGATACAGACTTAATTAAACAATGTAATTTAATCATACCACTAATCTTAATGTATTAACTAGAAAGAAACAGCGTGAGGGAAAAATGAACACACAAAATATCTCACTTTAAAAATTTATTGCAATCTAAATGAACATAAATATTTGTTAACTTATAACTTCAGATAGAAGTCTCACTGAAATTCACACTTATGATTTTATCTAGGAAGGTGACAATGTTTACTTCAGAATTGAACCATCCAGTTCATTTATGATACAATTACAACTAAATCAAATTTTTCAGCTAAAAATTTTCTTTGTCATCTAACTCAAATATGATGAAATGACATGCTATATATTCTTTTTATGTGTAATTTGTTATCCTTGAAATAACTAGATATTTAAGAAGTATGTTTTGTCATCTAATGAAATTTTTCTAGCTGGATGGTTAAGAACAACAACGAAAGATTTAAAGAAAGTGACTAAACCAAACATAGTAACAGGTAAGTATTAGATAATGAATATATATATGTATATTATTTATGTGAATTTGTATATATCGAAATTTGGAACCTATATACTATTAAGTATAATTTAATACCCGTAGAATAATTTAGTGATTATATAAACTCAGTAGCTTAATGGCTAACAAGTTGGGCTTTGGAGCGACAAGTACTTGATTCAAGTCTCATTGTTAACATCAACACAGATGTAGGTACAATCAAGTATCGATTCGCAAATGTAAGGGGACGCATTTAATGCATTCCGATAATAACCACAAACCAAATGTTTTAAAATATCCGTTGATTAATGTTGAGTCGGCTTTCCGAGAACAGCAACGGAGCCTCCAGAGGCTCTAAAGGAGCCGAAGAGTTCTAGCCAATCAGAGCATGATGGAGCTTTCTAGAATGTCGACATGACGTGCTACTATTCGTCAGTAGCATAATACGTCTTTTAGCGGATTTGCCAAAATATGATGTTGATTTAACAAATGTTAACATCTATAAATACCCGTGTTTTTCTGTACAAAAATGTACTTTGGAGTAAAGTACTTCTCGCATACTTTGCGTCTTCTCTCACGTGTTCAGGTCGCTGCGTAGTTCTAGCTTGGGGGTTACAGACTAGCTTAGGGAACGAATATAGCGTTCAATCCGCAAGACTTATCAATTAATACGTCTTATTTGATGTTTTTTTCCGTGCTGTTGTTTATTCGAAGATACCAAGAAATGAAGTCATTTTATTATTCGTTAAATGTTACATTGTAGTATATTAACGTTTCGTTCTAGTTCAACACCTAGAAATTAAATGAGAGTTAACCTAGAATATTCAATTCAGGCATGAAATATGGTATTGTTGGTCACTGAATCGCATTCTCAAGCAAACCGATACTAAGATTTTACTGCATCTTCAAATTACATCTTTGCTGACTTCATAGATTATGCTTCCCATTGGAATTATGGGAAAGTAATTTTGAATATACTCAATTAACATGTATGGCATCGCTATTACTTCCAAGCTGGTTTCCAAATACTTTACGTAGTTGAATGCAAGGAGAAATTAGGTGCGATGTTTTAGTATTATAAACTTGAATAAAACAGCATAGTGCTCTTTACTATTGACATAAACTTCTAATCATAGTTGTATTAAACAGAATCAAAATTGATACCCAAACGACTATTTTGATCAGTTTGACAAGTATGTTCTAGTTTTAAACTCTGCCGTCGGAATTTTTCTTATCTGCATTTGACATAATTCCACCTGATGTTAATTTTGAAATTTACTTGTTTGATTTCACTTTATACTACTTAATGATGCTTAAGTAACGAGTATATCTGATCAACAATCATCTGTTTGTTAACTGGGAAAACAAAAATTCGTTTGTTGACAATTAGTTTCTTTTCATTTCCATTAATCAATGGGCTTATATTCACGTACTTGGTTTAAGTGACAGTGTGAGTAGTAACATTGAGGTACAAGAATATTATAGTGACGATTTTCAAGTGGAAGTAATTTGTTTTGTGACCAATGATGGTGTTTCCCATCTCACTCGTGGTTACCTATTACGAATTGATAATTGAAAGGTAGTACTAAAGATCTATATACTATGGTTCGTTAGTTTTCGTATGATTAGGTTTCTTGGTACCCACGTTGTTGGATTTAGAGAATGAATTACACGGGTACTAGTAATACGTCCTGGTTGGTTAAGGATATGTGCTAAAACTAATGAGCTTACAATTTTGCATTTTTAGAAATTCAACAATCTTGGTAGCGTGATTTTAAGACAAAACTTTGGTATATTTGCAAATTTCACAATGGAACTGAGAAATCTTTCATATCGACTGGATTAGTCAACAAATAGCTACTTAACGTGGTCTTCAAGTGTTTTTATGTTTTTGTTTGTGGTACATTTTTCAATCCTTTAATATTTTTAGGGATTTCACATAGTAGAAATTATTATTACTGAATGAGAATAAAATATTTTCCTCGGACTTGATACATTCAACATCCATGAAGATAGCTGTATTTTATTTTACACACTTTTCTAATAGGCTGTCAGTTAATTTAGTGTTATAAAGTAATGTTTCACTGAATAAAAAATGTTCCTATCTGCTCTGAATATTTGTTTGGTAATCCATACTGCAAGATATTGTTACCTATAACAATTCATATGCAGTTAACTAAGATTTATACGAACTGAGAAAGTTAACCCACCACTCATATTGTTTCTTTCTCAAAAGTATCATTCAGTTTAAGGAAATAGTTTTTTAAAGGTGTGGTATTTTGTTTAGCACCCTACTCCACTGTGTATACTCGTTTCTAAAAGTGATCCAACTCTTCGATCAAACTTTTGATTTGAATCCGAAAATTTATGCAAACCAAATAATCATATGTAAACAAAACAGGAAGCATAATATCATAAAGTCGAAAGTGAATAAATGTTTTAAGAATAATTAACTAACCTATTTATACAGTTTAAAAATCCCCATAGAATATTCAAAAATGAAGAATATTTGAGCGAATAATTGTTTTCAATAACTTCATCATTAGGCTCTACAGTTATAAGTCCATGATTATGATACTTTACAAAGGCCAAAAATAGGGCATATATTAATGAATTTGACTATGTTATACGTTAAAAATGCTGAACGTTTGCCTCTGTCACGACGTATATACTTTCTAATCTGCAAATAATACAATTTTGAAATATGTATGTTGTAACAAATGTAAATGTTCACCATTTTTAACACATAACATTGTCGAATTCATTAATACATGCTCTATTTTTGACCTTTGTAAAAGATCATAATTATGGACTTATAACTGTAGAGCCTAATGATGAAGTTACTGAAAACATTTGTTTGCTCAAATATTCTTCATTTTTGAATATCCTATTTATATGAAGATGTCAATGATAAGTTACATATATTCTCAAATTATACCATTGAGATTTCTATCACTCTTCATATGGTTTATTAATTACAAATACGTTACATTATATACTATGGAACAATATATTACTTCCAAATAGATTCTGGAGATTTTATAAATATGGAAGGTTGTGGAGTATGTTAAGCTTAAATAGTCAATTTAACATAAAGAGATAAATGATATTATGGATTATCCTCAGTTAGTTAACTATTGATAAACAAACAGAACTCTGAAGTTGTTTTGTCTTAATTTGGGACTCCTCAGAAATGAATTTTATCAAGTCCAATTTCAATAATAACTCACTTTTCGTGTTACGTTGAATTCATTTCTTTAAAGAGATAATTAACTCATTTTTCGTCGTATCTATCACAAACTGATCTTAGCTAGATAAACACTAAGATCTAAGAATCATCTTCAACTATTGAATGGAAATTCGATGTCACTTTCCCTCTCCTGCAACAAAGTCACAATATAATGTTGAGTCAGTGTCTTAAAGTTAAATTCTACACCTTTCTTAGTATTTTCTATTCATTAATTTTGTTATCTGATACCAAACTCTGTTAAAAAAACACTACTTAAATATATATCGTCAAATAACACATAGTCGTTTTTCAGCTTATTTACTTGAACTTTACATTAATAATGAAATTGGGACGACTGTGTTCATTGTCTGTCAAGCGAAAGATTTATTACTAAAAATTACTTATTTCTGCAAATTGATTTTATAGCCACCCTAAATAATGTCGATGATGATAGCAATATGTTGTGATTTATCCATGAAATTTATAGTTATTTTAATTATTACCAAGATTATATATCTATACAAAGTTTGGAAAAATGTGTACTTTTCCTCTCTCCAAATATTTCTAGTAAACATAAGCCATCAACGCACTCAATTTACAACTATACATATACATTGAACTACCATTTCATCCTATATTATAACTCCTGAAATGTTTTGACATATGGTTACTTTTTCTAAGAAAGTACTGCTCAGTCGGCATCACATATTCATTATTATCAATCTTATTCAATTTGTGATCATCTATTATAATCATGCAATTTTATGAAATGACTCATTCTATCCCTTTGAACAAAGTTGAATATACAACTTACGGTTTTTCATTAAGATGTTGTGGACTTATTCTTTAAGTTAAACATTAGAGAAGAGATGGTTAACAGTTTCTTGGAGTATCACATTGATATTCTGCTTACTGTAAGAATACAGTAAGGCTTTGTTGATGAATGGCACGACGTCTGGGTTTAAAGCTTACTGACGACCACCTTCATTCATCTCTACCTGTTTCACTATCTATTTTCTATTTCAATTATGTTATTTTCCAGTTAAACATAAAGTAAACGTTGGATATATTAAGACAAGTTATATATTCACCAGTGTTAGTTATTTGATTCTCGCCGTTGTTGATGTTAAGAACTGAAGTCGACTAGTCTTTTATGGGATAAGCACAACTTCAGAAGATAGCCTTGACATTGCCACTTATCCACAAGAAGTCTTGTAAATTTGTACAGTGGCTATCTAGACTCGCTAGCTCAATAGATAATGTGTTGGTGTTTTGGGCGAAAAATGTACTCATCGACATGGATCCAAGTACTTTAATTTGATGAGTCCCAAATACGACGATACACATAACCTGGATTTTATTATTAGCCGCTATACATCCCTGCTTAAAACAGCAGTTATTTCTGTTTACTTACTACTGAATCATGTAAAATATGGAATAGCATAACATAAAAGTCTGTTAAACAAACGTAAATAAATGGACAAAACCGAAAAAAATGTTTGTATTGCAAATAAATCAAAAAGTAAAAACTATATATTTACTTTCTGTAACACTGGATATGACATATAGTATACTTATGTGAGTTTTACATAAAACCATGTTCATTTTATTTTTAAGATGAAGACTCACTAATTGATTCATAAATAATGTGTACTTGAAGTTTCATGATAACTAGTGCCTCTTCGAATATTTCAACCTACAGCATCTAGTTCCACATTTATTAATATTCAGTTATTCAAATCGTGACTGTATCGTTCGAAGGAGTAAAATTAGATATACATATATTCCTATGGTTGAAATCATGAGTCAATTGAAGCTAGACCACCATGAAAAACCTGGAAGCACTGGACGGTCGTTTCGTTCTATCGTATCGTTTAATGGTTAAGCGCTCGAGCGCGAGAATGGTAGGTCCTGGGTCCAAATCTCACGGGGTGCGAGATCGTGGATGCGCACTGATGAGAAGTCCCATACTAGGACGAAATGACCGTCCAGTACTTCCAGGTTTTCCATGGTAGTCTAACGTCAACTGACTCATGATTTCAACTATTAAAATTTTTAAAATCTCTACAAAACCCCTTGTGATATATTTCTATATTTAAAATATCATCTATACACAGATTTAACATTGAAGTTATTTTGTTTTACAATAGTATAAAAATTAAACAACATATTACCAAAGATTACAGAATAAACACATTTTACAAAATTCTATAAACTTATACAAAATTGTATTCATTTCCGTTTACACTATCAGTTTTAATATTATAATAATTGAACAATATATGCTTAATTGTTCTTACTCTTATGTTTCTATTTTCTTTTATCAATACATTTTATTTCATTGTAATTGGACAAATTATCATGATTAGGTTTATTTAGTCGACCAAATCCATCGGAAATTTTAAATAATAATGAAAATCAGTCAATTGATTCAACCATTAAAAAGGTAATTTTCCCTTCATAAATTTTTTCTTTCGATGTTTAAATAAGATAGAATCTATCATAGAATAACGAAAATATTTTATAGATCAGGTAAACACTTTTATTGTTATGGGTGTTGAGTTATTTTCGAACTAGATGATTCAATTGAGGAGATTTATTCATCGTTATGGATAATATCGTCAAAGTTTACTTTATGTAGAATTGACCTTGTTCTGATCGTCTTGTTTTCGATTATTTGACTTCATTTTTCATTGTATTTAAGTTGAGTGTTTTATTCGATTAAGCTCTGATTATGTGGATAATTGACGTTCTTCCTATGAGTTGATAGATCTGATCAATATGAACATGAATGATAATTGCTGAAAGATCGGAATGATATATTATAAAGAATTCTCCGGGATTCTATGGTTTTCCTTGATCCAGAATTTCGACATTTTCATACACGTAGTCCCCTAAGTGCATTGAGATAAGTGATAATATGTAGTGCTGTTTTATTACTAGTGTATGTTACTATTACATGAACGATTCAAGCAAAAGTCCATTTTGCCCTATGTGGTTTTTATCTTAGTTAACAATATTCATTTTTCACATTATACTGCTTTTATCTTCTTCCTCTATCGTATCTTTCGATCACATGACACACTCATAAATTTTGTTTTAAGACTTATTCGATCAAGATAACTCTGTTTGAAGAGGTGTAAATTTGTTTGACAAAGACTAATAGGTGTCTTTTAAAAGTCGCCATGATATTGTTATCTAAATAGTGGAAGTGAGATTTTTGAAGATATTTAGAACAACAAGAAGTTTAATTGATTTATCTGTCTAGGGTTGGTTTCGCTCGAATACGAGGTACTTGAAGTGTAAATTTCATAACATTATTTCTTGGTTAAATTATTTTTATAGAAGACTGTTTTGTTTTGCTACTATGTCAAAATAGTAACTGGTAGACTGAATCTTATGGTGTGCATTATATTCCAACAGGTTGGGAATAATTATCTTGATAAGAAATACCAAGAAATGAAAAATAATATTATAGAGTCATACTTTCTAACAAGAATATTTCAGTTGAACACAACCAACAGGTGCTATGGTTTCTTAGTAGTTAAATTACTTAGCTTTCAACTAGTCTGTCATAGATTCAAACACTATTTCATGTAATTTGATTTAAACGGTTGGATAGTATCATTATCCTGAACACGAGCAGTGTGTCTCAAAGTCAAGTATATAAACCTTTATCTTCCTCTTCCATTCGTTATTTTTCATCTAAACGTTCCCTCCACACAAAACTGTTCAGAATCTTTTTGGAAAGATGATTCGTGTTCACATACTCTTTAAAGTATAAGTTCATGTTGTCATACGTAATCCATGGAGTACTGAATCAAACACGAAACGCTTAAATATTTCAGAGAATTTTACTTCTAAGCTTCTAAATCGTAGTACAGTAGTCTACATTTTCAAATTGAGCTATCTTGTGATTCCGTTTAGCCTTATATCATGGTATGAGGTGAATGATAACTAGGTTACTCTTAAAATGATTAAAGAATAGGATATTTTGGATCTAGGTTTCATGCTGATTTGCACTCATCAAAAAAGTGTTCCTACGATTATGAGGGAACTAATACTCCTTGCAGAATTTGACTACATATCGCTCAACTTCACCGTCTGATACGTTCTTTAACGAAAACCAAAAGTAATGAATGTCTATAATTCTTCTATTCATTTGCTTTTTTCCTTTCCAGATAGATTTACATCAAACGGATAATAACAATTCAAAAAGTTCATTAACAGTTGGGCAGAATGATTTAGATGACATAAATAGAGGTATTTAGATCAAAATTTTATTTTATCTCATTTTGAGAATGTCGTTTGATTAGTCCTTATTACTAATTAAGTACGAACTTTGGTTTGATATTATATTGTAACAAAAGAAAGGAGGGATCGAAAACTGTTTACTTATTCACTTATATATTCATAACTAGATTGGTTAAATGGTTTAATCAGGATCAGTGATACTATATAACGTCTATTAGCAATTTGTAAATATACTGTTTCTACTCACTTGAATGAAACTAATATCCTCTACGATTTTGCAGTAACCAATTACTGTTATCAAGATTTGGTGAAGATTATTCTATTAATCTCTTACACAATATTAAATACTGAATACTGAGTATGTAGTATGAATAATAATCGCTCTTTGCCTAAAGGCCTGAAGGTCCTGAACGGGTTTCCTAGTAGTATCATGGTTGTGTACTTCCGATATGTCCCACACAAGGAAGAAATTACTGTCCAAGGATTACTAATTTTGAATGTTTATTTGGTATGAGATTTTAAATAAAAAATAAATTTACCAAATTTCGTAAAACATGGTTAATGTTTGATCTTCGAAAGTATCACGTTTAGTGTTTTGCGTTTTTTTTAAAAACAAATGAATTGAGATATTAACTTCCAAGTTTTGATCTGTGTATTGAGTTATTTAAAAAATACGTAATTCTACTTGTTTGATCGATTCGTTAAGTCACAACCTGATAATATCTGTGGAACTAAATGCGTTGGATTGAAATATTAGAAGGTGCGACAAATATCACCAAACTACAGAGACTCATCATGTATAAGTTTCAACCAGTGAGTCTACTTCTCAAATGCTTGCATCTATTTAATTGAAACAGTAAGTACGTTACAATTGTGTACACGTAATCAACCGTTCGTCCACTTACATGTCAAACTACACACTTCGTTTGTATTTGTAGCATCCACCTTGAATTATATTAGTAGGCAACGACATGAAACTGTAAAAAAGATCACTTTCAAATAAAAACAATATATCAATCGAGTTGAATAGATTAACTACCCTCAATATTTGGTTATTGATTAATAATGAGAAAGTATGTGATAAATGAAATGGAATAACAAACGACTGAGATATAGCTTAAATAATAAATAAAGATGTATAATTATTTTTAATTCTTAGTCTATAAATATTGTTCGACTTGATAAGTGATTGGAAGTTATAGGAACACTCCTACGATTAATTCCGATTATGGTCAATTTTTGTTAAGCCGTTTTATTGACTTATTTAACAGACAATGTTATTTGAAGAATAGCAATTCACCTATTTTTTTGTATTATTATGATCAATATCTTGTTTGTATAAACGTGTACGCTTGATCAAAGGTGACAACCTAGATACATATCTCTCTATAGCTTAAACGTTAATCGCTCGATGAACCGTTCTCTGTACCATATATATGTGCTCGGATTCCATTAATTGCTTTTGACTTGCTTCGCTACGCCTTGATTTGATTTGACAAAAATTTCACCTCTGCGTTTGCTCACTCACACATTAGCCTTTTTGCTCCAATTCTCTCGAAATGCTTCTAAAATTTGTAATCTGTGCTATCTGCTAGTAAACTGTAGTCGTCACTTCTTGTTACCTTCTGAATTCAAACAGGGTTGGGATTTACGCAATAACGGTTATCAAGGTGATCGATTGACGAAGCTAAGCCACTGCAATGTTCCCTAGTAGAGTATATATATGATTTATGTTTTTGTTGTGTGTATGATTAAGAGCACGGCGATTTTGATCGAATGAATTATGGATTTGTCAAAATGAATATTTTCCATATTAAAGAAGATTATAAATGAATAATTGATGCAATTTTTATTTAATCTCTTCCTTCTTTCAGTCAAATACACATATAAGTATAAGGGAACATTCTATCAAATAGATTATCACTTGCACTATACTGTTGTCAAGCCCAGTAACTGAGTTACAAGATCAGATACTCAGTTAAAACCCACATCCTGCATTCCACTACTAACCACAATCTATTTATTCGATACTAAAATGATATAAATGTTTTTAGTGCATGAATGAGTCAAAGTGTATTTAGGCAGAAGTAAATGTTATCCAAAAATATAAAATGATGAAACTTTTCTAAATTAAGAAAATCTAGGAGCAGATTAGATAATTTAAGTCACATAAAATGATAATTACTCTGTGAAGGGAGTAAAATTTGTCAAGAATTCTCAATTATCGCCTGTGTTCTGACTCCATATCTACGTATCTTAGCATACAAACATATTATCTACGTATCATTTTGAAGAACAACATATACTTGACATCATACAGCTTTGCAAACGAAATGATTCTGAAAAGATCTCTTCGCCAAGCCAACTTTATTGTTATATTCTACATTTTATTAAAATTAGTTAGTTTATGATATTGAACAACCATCGTTCAATAATACTGGTATGTGACTTACTTTACACTTAACATGGTTGAACTCCGCTAGTCACGGATTGTTATCACCGAAACTCCGAGAATTACCTCTCAAAATTAGTTATCAGAGATCATATGATTATTTTTAACGTAGAAAGTTTCATCATGGCTGAAATGAATAATAGCTTACATAATTCAAATTCTACAAACCCCTTATCTTTAACATCTTACAGCTTAATATATGAATCCGGATCATACAATTCTTTCCGTAAGCAACTATAAAATCAGTAAGCATGATACGTTGTCGCAATTGCATTATTTTTGGATCAAAGTTGATAATTGTTTTTTAATTTTTCTAAATAACAGGTACTATCTTGGGAAAAAAGTCTCAACACGCTAGTTCTTATCGTTTTATTCATGGTAATTTAATTGATCCGTCTGCGCAAAATCAATTAACTACTACTTATACTGGCAATTATAGTAGTAAAAGTGACAATAGGAAAATTAGTATATCAGATCATTCTTTGGATCGTGTTTACTTATATGAAAATTTAATTGATAGGCATGAACGTTCACGTTTATGGGATCATATGCAATTTTGGGAGGATACATTTTTTGATACAGTTGCTCAGGAAAGAGATATTTTAGGTAAGTAGTTTAAATAAACATAATAGTGGTGACAATAAATGTTATTCACTGTTTGTGTTTGTATTGATTACGTTATTTGGATTTATTTACTTTGTACAATTTGATGAAGATATCATTTTTTTAATGGAAAGACCATCAGTAATAAACTGAACATTCATTTCGCCTAGTTCACTCATAGATACAAGTATGAAATCTCTTTTTTGAAATGGTATTTATTCAATCGTCATAAAATTATCATTGTTATAGTTAAAAAAAGATGGAAGATGGTCAGCAGTGGAATCCAGGACGCAAGTTTCGTCCTATTCAGGAATTATCGGCTGGACGTACCTGCATATCGGGGTTAATGTCCACTCCAGGACTCGGACCCAGTGCCGTTCGCTTCAAACGCCATCAGGTTATTCATTTAACTACTGAGTCCTGATAGCCACTACCTCGTGAAATAGAATGACGTTTAAATCCATTTTTATTGTTTGTTTGAACATCATTGAGAAGATTCAAACAAACAATACAAAATGAATGTTGAAGTTAGAGTTCTATTCGTCTTAATATAATGAATGACTTGTCACTATGACTCTGAACTTACAGAACAAACGTTTTTTCTACTCTGAATTGGCAAACATTAGTAACAGATAGTTAATAGCTGATTAATTATAAGATCCATGTGATATATCATTGTGGAGTAGTTATTACACTGCTAAATCTGGTCAGTTTCACTGCTACGGTTAGTTTGTTCATATTTTTTGAAACTGGAAATAAATTCCTCATTTTATCGCAATACATCAGCTATAAATCTCACGAGTTATAATGAATATGGTGATTAGAAACAAAGAGTTAACATACTTCAGTTCACGAGGTCGCGATAAATATTTAGAATGAGAATGAGAAATCAGAGAATAAGAAAATGCAAAGTATAGTACTCAGCATAGGAGTTGTCATCCATACTCATTTTAACTATGGAATATTCAGTAATATGTAATAAAGAAGGTGAATTCAAAACTATTATCATTCACTTAAACTTGAGGTCACATTGCATGGTTGATAGAATTCTATCAATACTAAAGGAATATACAAACATGACATTGGTAACTACTCAGTGATCGGTGGTTGACCAATTGTTATGGTTTTATTCTTATTTGAGATTTTTCATGGCCTCAATAAATCTGCTTTGAAATTTCAGACTGTGGAAATAGGTGATTCTAGTTCCAACCGCATAGGGAGTACCGATTTTGCAAAGATTGCAGGCGTCACTTTTTGGGAACGAGCCTCAATTATTACAAAGTCCAGATCTAGCGTACCCTATCGACTACCTCTGATTAAGTAATATGGTTCATGCAAACCATAGGTACTTGCACAACATATTTAGAATGGATGAAAGTTATTGAATGAATAAAAATAAGGTTATATAATAGGGGAAATTATTTCTTTTTAATTATATTTACTGTACTAAAGAAAGGTTTATCAATTATTTTCTACTATACAAATAGATCAAATAGTCGCCTTTAAAAGTGATTTAAACAATTTGTTTACTAGCTATCTTTAAAGTTTCTAAAAGATGACCTTATCCACCACCCATCAGGTACCTTTTGGTCGTGTTTGTTAGAATTTTACTTTTCAGTCATGGGTTGTAAGAAACATGCTTTTTATACTTCATATATTTAAATATATTCTTCAATACTTCACTAAAAATTCACTACTACTACTACTATTACTACCACCAGTACTACTACTACTACTACTTCTTAAGTGGTCGAATTATCCTTCGTCCCCAAATTACTATTCTTTGTACTTATTCTGTATTTCTGTGTTCTTCATTTTACCATTGATTTTTTTTTATTAATCATCTTTAAGGTTTAGATCAAGCACCAACGGAAATGCTTGAACAGTTTGCTAATATGAATACAACACAAAAACGTATAGTCATATTAAAAGAAGATCGTTTACTAGCGTTTTGTTTATATAATCTAACAGCTTATATGATATTAATGAATGTTGATAAGAGTATATTAGTAACTCACGTGCGTCGATTGTTAGCAAGATGTCGTATTGGTTCATATTTTGCTGCTATAACCAGTCATCTGTTAGATAATGTTAAATATTTGGTAAGTCAGTATTTTAAATCAAAGTGTTTTGTTTTTCAGTTTATGTTATGAGGTATGAATATAAAATAATTAATAATTTTTTGTGATCTGGTTTGTCTGTGTTTCCATTTTGCGCGCTTCGTACTTATGTTGTTAAATGTATATCAAAATATCTCTTGGCGCTTCATTGTGAAGATAGTTGACTTTACGAGTCTCTGAATAAATCGATAGCCTAGTTGCTAATGAATGAAGCTTTAAACTAACAATTAAGTCATTTGATAGAATTAATTCTATTTATGAATTCTATTAATATAACAATAACAGTTGATGTAGAATGAGATGAATTCATTTTTTTAATTCCTAGGTTTTCATTAGCGGTTTATAACGTATTCGTACTTATTATATAATTTAAGGTTAAATAAGAAATTTCAGGGCAGTTTGTTAGCTTCACAAATGTGTGAATAAAGCAAGAACATTGATATTTGTAAAATACAAATAATTCATTTTATTTTTTTAAGTACTTTCTCTTCAGCTACCCAAGTGCAATGGAATATATTTGGTCAGTTCAAAATACTGATAGAAGTATCAACTTTCTAATAAATGATTCATTCATCAATGATAAACAAATTTTAACAGTTGAATTCACAAGTTAATCTGAGCTAAACCACCATTAAACACCTGGAAGAATTGGACGGCCGCTTCGTTCTAGTATGAGACTCAGTAGTGCACATCCTCGAACCCAGAATGGTTATGAGACAGATATCCACCGTAGACAATGGATGAAGGATTGAGCAACTTCATGGATCGATTCAAGTTAGACATTATTACCGTTGAATGCTGGCTTAGTGGTCTGGAGGTGAAGCGTTCGTGCACGAGACCGAATGTTCTGGGTCTGAGTCCCGCATGCGAGTTATGGATGCCCACTGCTGAGGAGTTTGACGCCAGGACGAAACGACCGTCTAGTGTTCCCAAGTTTTCAATGGTGATCTGACATAGACTGACTCGTGAGTTAAACTGTCAAGATAACAAAATCATCAAAAAAGAATTAAACTCTAAAAATACTAAAATCTCCACAAATCCCTATACCGATGAATAAATCGGTTGCAATAACTTTCAACTAGATATTGTTTAAAGAAGTTTTGATAAATACCATAGTTAATAGTTCTAGAATATTTGAAGAATGTGACTTTATTTCATAACATGGTTAAATATTATGATGATTATGAAAAATTAAGGCCTTTTGAATTCAACTTATGTAACTGTAATTAAAATTATATAAAAAAAAGGGAAAAAATAATTCGATTTATAAGAATTTATTTATTCATTTTATTGATTATTCTAATTTTAATTCACCCCTCGTTTATTCATTAACATACAAAAATGACTTTTATTATGCTTTTATGTTACAGGATGGAAATTCAATTGATTTGCTCCCTTCTATGACTAGATTAAAAGTATTTCAATCTTATGAAATTGAATTACTAAATAATGTATCCAATGAAGCGAAAATTTTAGAGGTAAGCGATTAAAGATAAAATAGAAGAAAAGTAACAAGTCACAAAATGTATTCAGGGTGTTTTTTTTCTCCACAGATTATTCTCATTTAAATTACTACTGAGAAACATGTAAGACTAAACAGGTGTTTGGTCTTAGTACAGAGATTTTCAGAAATGTACAATGACGACCTCCTTCCATTCAGCAATTTTATAACTTTTAGTGAATGCCTGTTCATCGGAACCATATGAGCAGTGTTCACTGGTACAGTTGTAACTTCAATCAATTTGCAATATAGCATAACAATTATTCAACCCTTTCTAATTTTCTCTAATTTTAAGTCTAAATTCCAGCATTCAATTTTTTTTTCGCTAGAACTTCATAGAATCTTCACGTCATATAAGTAATTGGAGAATTCACAATTATTGTTTGACTGATCTTTAACCTAGGACCACCAACGCCTGCCTGATATTTCATAATGTTGATAGTCATTTATGTTTATGCAATAACTACAGTGCAGTGCTAAACTATAACATTTTGGGTCATAATATTACTATACAAATATGACATTCTTGCATTATATATTTGGTAACTTCAAAATCATTATCGTACACATTGTTTCAATTGACCTGTCACCTGACGCAATTATTATTTCTTACTGTTAAGTTGTATATTGGATTTTTAAGTCTTACAACTATAATTATATTCACTTATTTCTGGACAATAACACTAATTGTTTGATTACCGTAAGCAATTATGAATAATAAATATCCAGTACTACAGTAAACTGTCAATTATCCATTTCAATTGTAATCATATTCATAATATATTAAGCTTTGATTTTCGGCAGTTCACAACTGTTAAAATTTTTGACCAATGCTGATCACTCGTCTTCTCAATTTTCATTATGTACTACACATCTGATTAACGAAATTTCTACATTGTTTCTTCTCTTTTCCATAAAAAAAACTAACAATGAGAAAGTAAACTAGCCACTGAGGTTCATTTTTTGGTCGTTTGCTGTGATTCGTAACACAACAGACTGCTAGCTTTGTACAGAGCTGCGTGAATAGTCAAGGTGGTTATCATGTATATATCCTAAGTTAGGATAATGTTTTCAGAGCTGAAATATACATGTTCCAAATAATCTAAACAAATGGACAAACAATATTAAGAATCCCTAAACATGAACGAAACAGCTATCCAGATCTCTTTCACTATCAAAGATTCTTCAGATGGTTCGGTGAAAAGTGATCCCTAAAGATAACGAGTTCCATAGTTTACATTACAAACTGATCTTTATCAGACAGTTATATTAAGCCGGGAGGAACGAGACAGCTCTGTCATCTTAGTGTATAACTACTCAGCAGTTTCTATCAACAACTTCACAAATGGTTGAATGCATAGTTTTTATGCTATGGTGCAATCAGATAATCTTGAGATGCCTCTGACAACAAACTGTGGTTTACATCTTCAGCTTCAATCGACTAATGATTTAATATGATCATTTTTTTCCATTTCATTGATAGGTAGCCGCCCACTTATATAACTTCCAAGATGATGAAATCAGTATTTTTTATGTTTTAATCACAGTTTAATTCCAATAGAAAAAAAATATAGAGAAACTTGATATCAACTACTTCTTATCAGGAAAATGTAATTCATTCTACAGAAAGAAACAACCTTATATCCATCTTGTTTTGTTTGTTTTTTTTACTTATCAGATTTATGGCAAATGTTTAACAGTTCGTAATTTATTAGGTGAAATTATCAAAAAATTGAATTATGATCAACTGATTGATTTGTCATTTGATGATTCAATCATTTCTTTAAAGTTTATTGAACAAGAAACAAACTGCGATCAGTTTTCACTGTTACAAATTCGTTGTGATAAGGTAAGGAAGTAAACTAATCAATCAATCAATAAATAGACATATATTTATTATCAGAATGGGTTTTGTGGAGATTTTTAGAAATTTCACAAATTGAAATCATGAGTCAATTGAAGCTAGACCACCATTGAAAACCTGGAAGCACTGGACGGCCGTTTCGTCCTAGTATGGGACTCCTCAGGAGTGCGCATCCACGATCCCGCACCACGCGGGGCTCGAACCCAGGACCTACTGGCTTCGCGCGCGAGCACTTAACCACTAGACCATTGACCCGGCATCCAACGGTGTTAATGTCTAACTTCAACCAATCCACGAAGTTGCGCCATCGTACACCATTGTCTTCAGTGAGTTCTTATCTCACAACAGAACTGGTTGAACTCCACTGGTATATATATATATATATATATATATATATATATATATATATATATATTATTTTTCTCGAATCGTTCAATGTAAAATTGTGTATTATTTACATTTAGGGAATACTTATATTCATTTTATTAGTATTGTTTAATATTCTAAATAAACGATTTGATTGTTCGCTGTTAAGATTGAATCCGCCGTTTTATTTTTATAGAATTAAAATGATGATGGTCTAGTGATTAAGTGCTCGTGCGCGAAACCAGTAGGTCCTGGGTTCGAATCTCGTAGGGGGCGAGGTCGTGGATGTGCACTGCTGAGGAGTTCCGCAATAGGATGAAACGGCCGTTCAGTGCTTCCAGGTTTTCCATGGTGGTTTAGCTTCAGCTAACTCATGATCTTAACCATTGAAATTACTATAATATCTACAAAACCCATCTGATATTAATGATGATTTTGTTACGAATTCCAACCTTTTGTATGTACACTTGATGGAACTATGAGATTACTGAGTTGACAAATTATTTTGATCAAACAAATAACCTTAATTGATCACTTATAATTATCAGAAATCATAATTTCTACTGGTTCATAATACTTCTTTCATTCTTAACGCTCAAGTAATTGATTAACGAAACTTTTGCAAAGTTAAAACATATATATAAACGATTCATAAGTGTTATGATTTGTTATTCGCTTGAATGCTATTACTGATGCGTCTTACTCAACGAACGAAGGATCAGTGACTCAGTGACTCGATAGCTATTCTGGTTCGTTGTCCCCCAACTCTGCTAACTCGATCAAGAAGTCTGGGTAAGGTGTAGAAGTGTATTCTGCAGACACACAGCAGATAACAAGTCAAGTCAAACACACAACTCACGCGTATTTATACAATATTTACAATCGATATTGTCATAGGAAAATTGTAAACACTAATCAATGAGTTCATAAATTGACCTATTTGCACATTTAATCGATAGTTCATCAATTGACATATTTGCACATCTAATTGATAGGTTCATCAACTGACTGCTATACAAACATTTAATCGATCAGTTCATCAATTGACCCCAATACAAATATTTAAACATTTAATCAATAAGTTGATCGATGCGACAAAATTTTAAAAATATGAGTTTGGGGATCTATCGTCCCCAACAATAAGTTAATTAAAGCCGGCATAAAAATACCGTAAACCAAATATGTAATAAGTACGCAATAGTAAAAAAAGATGTAATGATTCACCGTTTGATGGTTATGATAGTTTCACCTTTCCTCAAATATCCACTCCTATCTAACACGTTGAAATTAATAAATTTGTTATACATTGTTAACCAAATGTTTTCTATTGCTATATAATCAGTTAAAAGCGTAATATAAACTTGTATATGCATATTTATGAGCCATATAAGTGGATATGGAGTAAGGATAATTTAGGGTTTCAAAGCTTCGTTTAAAACATTAATGTATCACATAATTAAACTGATTACAATCATCATCTACAAACCTGATTTTGTAGATAGTATTTTGATCTCGAGATAGTGTTCATCATTGGACGGTCTCATTTGGAATATAAGTGAATACTGGAAAATGGACTGTGAAGCTTTTTTGTCTTAGTACGGGACTCCTCACAAATGCACTTCCATAGCTCGATCAAGGATCAAACTCGTAACAGTCAGGTCTCGTACCGAACAATTATTTTTTAGAACCACTAGGTTTTCATTTCATGATATGCGAATCCAACTGCAGTCAAATTGCAATATCAAGTAATGATCATTTAATGCTTTCAATAAAGACTGTTTCAACCTAGATCTGTTGGAATTCCACAGGCCAATACTTCACACTAAAACTTCAGGGACTTATCTCGAGATGAGTCTTTATTAAGCTGGCTTTTATAGTTTATACTAAATCCATAACTTGATTATTTTTCGTAAAATAATCGTAACTGCCTGATTTATGTTTTATTGCAAATAGACTTCGGACCATTCTAATCTAAATAGCCTATCTAATAAATACTCAAACTGTTTAGTTATGGAAATGCTTTTAGTAGTACGTCTTAGTTCAGCTACCAGTCTTTAGATTGTTGTATAAACACGATAACTGAGGTGCACAAACTTTAGTTCATGATTTACGTCCGCTACATAAAATTGTCTCCTTTACTTGAGAAGCGTAGCCAGCCTGGGGTTTGTTCCAATTCCAGAGATGAGAAATAGTTAATGGTGTGGGCACGATAAAGTGAAGGATGGTAGGAAAAACTCTAGTTTTCAAAGATGTTTCAAATGATGAAATCAAAGGTAAGATAATTGGACTGTTGCAAATGAAAATAATTTTAGCTCAATAGTTTGATGTACTCTACAAGTCATGGAATTAAGTTTTGTAGATAACCTTCAACAACAGTTGATCTCACTTTGTGTACCGTTAAAAATCAGAGGAAATTGAACAGCTGTTTCGTTCTAATATGAGTTCATTTAGTAGTGAACACCCATTATACCCCTTAGGATTGAACCCAATGAGTTATAAATGTACATATATTTATCATTTTAAGCTAGATTATGCATGTACACTCTTTTCACTTTTTTTTGACAAAGGCTAAACAAATATGTCATACAATCGAAACATTAATTCAAAGAAGTGATCTTGAAAATTCTCAACAATAACTGTTTCCATAGCCGTATTTTAGTCAATCATTTATCAAGGTAAGTTTTTATGTGTTATAGTTTGAAATATGTTGGGAACTAAACTGTAAAATTTGTCTAGATAACTTGTTAAGTATTCTACTGATCTGGTTGCATTCGTGCACATTATCTATCCTTTTTAAACACAAGATGTCGAAGATATATATATATATATATATATATATATATATATATATATATATATATATACTCGATTCCCTCTTTTATGTGAATCACAATAATAGTAATACCATTTTTGAAAAATTTCAAAACTGAAAAATTTTAGTCGTATTCTCTGTGTGGTTTCCGGCAGCTATAATGCTGACAAAATGATAGTTGCATTTGATATCAGACGAGATGTTTGTTATTGCCACAACTAGTCAGTACACATGATACGTGTATGTGTGTGTTTGTTGACAGTATTAACACTGACAATATCAGGGAATCAGCAGTGAAGGTTACTTTAGTCACCAGTAATGTCCCCACCACAACAGTAACCACTTTTTAACACCCCTCTTTAATCATCATTTCTGACAAAACATTCATGTAACTCTTGATGTTCACCAATAAATAATTAATCGATAAAAATGTCGGTACAGTGACTTTTGTTGTTATCTTTTAAATCCTCTAAATCCTTAGATAATATGATCATATTTTTCTCAACCATAAAATGAAAGAAACACTCTTCCTTTGACGAGATCGAATAGGGGATGTAAACAAATATCCTTTCACCCCCCTATATAAATGTCTTATACTGATGGTTTTTTGTTATTATTACATTGTGATTTAAAGAAATATTGTTTGAAAAATTCACCATACTTCCTTCTTTCACCCTCCACCACACTAGTCTCTATCATTATTATTATTACTGTCAATTGAAGGATCGGACATGATGCAGAGTGGTGGATGGTGGAAACATTGACTTTGTGATTATTTTTTTAATCTTTCATTTCTTCTATTTGTCTTTGTTGACCTTATTACAGTAACGTTATATGTATATTTTAGAATGAAAGATTTAAACTGATATCTTACAAGATAATTTATAAAAATATACATGGGGATAAGAATGAAAATCTAAAGAGTAGATCATACAAAAAAATAATAACAATACTAACATTGTTAGAGATTTTAATGTACATGTATGTAATTTTCAAAAGAAATAAGAGCTTAAAATAAAATCCAAAAATTGTGAACAAAACAAGAATTTATCTAATATAGAGATGCAGTTAATATTATGATAAAATTATTTTCTATTTTTGACGATTTTGTTATTTTAACAGTTGAATTCGCAAGTCATTCTAAGCTAGACGACTATTGAAAACCTGGAAGCGTTGAAAGACCGTCCCATCCCAGTATGAAACTCTTCGGTAGTGGGCATGCGGGACTCGAACTTAGGACCTTTGGTCTCGTGCACGGACACTTCACCTCTAGACCACTGAGCCAGCATTCAGCGGTGTTAATGTCTAACTTGAATCGACCCATGAAGTTGCGCAATCCTTCATCCATTGTTTGAGGTGGATAACTGTCTCCACCTGACACGAATTGGACTCCAGTGGTCATGGCTTCTCATTAGAACTTGTGAACTCAAATGTTAAAATACTATAATCTCCATAAATTCCCATAATGATTTTGTTATCCTCCGTAGCGAATGCTTTTATTCGGGAACTTTGATTGGTGTTCTGGGAGAATACGTTCCATAAGTGTTAAATCAGTTTGTACTGACAGCCCCGATAGTCTCTATAGTCATGTTGACTGTCCTATTCTACTGATTTCTGATCATCTGACTGACTAACCATTTTTGTCTGAACTAACAGATCTAATCCATGCTGATTCGCCTGTCACGTGGTATGACATTCAGATCAATCGCAGATAGATTCAATCTATCAACCTGTGGGTAAAAGGTTAATTAATTACAACAGAACCGTTTAACCAACAACTTGAATACATCAAGAAACGAAAGCAACAAAACCTACAAAGAAAGTTAATCATAAATAAGACCACTAATACGAACTGATATAACACTTGTGGAGTAAATGAAATGCCCACTTTTAGATGATATAAGTGCTAAAAATGTTGCTCAGGGTGACGATGAAAGATCTACAATTAATCCGGCTAAGAGGATACAACACCCTCACTATAAATAAATCTATATATAATTTAATGATACTATATCGTCTGCTTTTGTTTCTTTTTAAGAAACTTCCAACTGTCGTTAAAACTAATTTCTCTCACTCCATTTCAATACATCAAACAAATGTTGACAAAAATCGCATTGACATCTCAGCGAATAAATAAACCAGGCGGCAGAGATTATTGAAACGACAAAGTTTCCTTCCTCACATACGTATCCATAATGTGTAACTAATTACTCATTATTATTATTATTATTATTATTATTATTATTATTATTATTATTATTATTATTACTGTTATTACTATTCCGTAGTAAAAATACTTATACTTATTATCTTAAAGAAGTATACAGTGTGAAGTTATTTTTCCACTGAACATTGTTACAATATTTAAATATTACTATTATCCCTCCTATTTTTTCTCTTTTGATTTCTGTTTGTTTCCTGGCTTGGAATAAAGAATATTTAGAATATTTCCTGAAAAAAAATGTTGTGTATCATTTAAAAACAACCGTGTGATTTCATAAAAGTAACATTTGTTGTTACATAGGTCGTCTTTTGTTTTTAGGACGAATCTCTTTCATCCTCTCTGTCTCTTTCTACTTCTTGAAATAGTTTTTTCTACCTTCCATACTCATAAACTTAAACTTTCCCTACATTTCATGTGTGTATTTATATGTGTGTAGGTATATTGTTCATTCTATTTTCACACTTCTTTTGTGATATATTTTGATTCTCTCATACACATACACATTTTTATTGTGGATAATTGTTTCATGATTATTTATACATAAATAAATTCTCCAGCACTTTTAAGAAACTGTGGTTGTTGTTTCAATTGTCGGTTAAGGGGTATCGTAGAAATTTTTCTTAATTTGTAGGTAGGTTGTTTGCATCATAAGTTATTGTCAGTTGGAATGTCAGTAGGAGTCAACGAGCACTGAAAAGCTATATTTTATCCTATTATGGAACATATTATTTACGAGCTAATGATGCTTTCAGGAATCAAACCCAAGTTCTTAAGGTCTTGTGATGAGTTTATTACATTTCAGCTAATGTACTAATACTTAACTACTAGGGAACATTTCAAATTTCAGTCGATACTTGACACTGAGTTGATATCTTTATTGTTCTAACCTACTAACCAAGTTTTCGGATATTCTTTATCAGAAATTGTTATGATGATTTAGAATATACCGAATTCAGTTCAAGCTTATGATTGAATCTTAAAGTAGCTAAAGTTGAAGATCTGGATCACCGAACTCCAAATACCTGGCTTCAAGCTATTGCATCCATAATGAGATTTGGAGATTTCGGGTTCAACTCCATGTACAGTCGTGGACGGATTGCGATATAATGTACCAATCAGAAGTAGCTAAATGAGATGGTCACTCGAGGACAATCAGAAAGGACCTGAAGAGTAGAAATGTATAGGTATGGGTATTTGTGCATATTATTTAGTAGCCCAACAGACTTTCTCTCGCATTCTTGTGTTCTTGCTCAAGTAGTTAGTTTCGGGGGTTACGGAGTAGAAGGTTCTATATCAGTATTGGATCTCAGACACCACCTATCATAACAAATTACATCACTTAAGATTCTCGGACTATGATACACTGAACAACCTACATCTCGACTTATCTTAAATTGAAAGACCATTGAAATCTAGAATGCTTATTCGCGTTGTTATAGGACACTTCAGCAGTGTGTATTCACAAACCGACCGGAGAATCCAACCTACGGGTATTGAGATGAGCGCTCAACATGAATGGGTGGATGAGCTCTTTAAACACCTACTGAATTTCAGTTGATATCAATCTCGATTGAACCGCACTTGTCGATTTTAAAAATAAGTCCTGGGTTCAAATCCTGCGAAGCAGGATCGTGGATAAGCACTGCTGAGGAGTCCCATACTACGACGAAATGGTCGTCCAATGGTTCCAGGTTTTCCATGGTTGTCTAGTTTCAGTTGACTCATGAATATGACTATTAAAATTGCTATAATATCCACAACACCCCTCTCTGATTATAATTGTCTAAAAGTTAGAGAAAAATAGTACGGTGAAAATAATTTACGGATCAAAAGTATTAGAAATAACTGTTCACGTAACAGATATAAATTGGAAGGAAAAGAAAGGAATGCGTGATAATAACTGAATATAATTTAAAAAATTTTCAAGTAGGTATTAGTATCTTAATACAGAGTAAGAAAAAGCATCTAAGGCAGGAGTTAACTCTATAGAAAGAATAAGCAATTATATTTGGTAGTTCTGTAACTAACATTAAGGCTTGTACAGTTGATATGCTAATGTTTTTGCATTCAGAAGTTGTTGATTGGTGCTTATTTTCAGTGCATTCACGTGACTGCGCAGATAATTTCAGAAAATAAATCTAACTGGACAACCTAATCAGAATTCATGAAATGTTTCCAACGTGAATCGAAAAATGTTTTGGACTCTCGTTTTGAAAGTAGTGTTAGGTAATCATTTTATCCCATTTAAGGTTTATAAACAGGATGTGCTTACTATCCAGTAATGATTTTTACATTGGGATGTGAAACTAGTACCTTGTACCAGTTGAACAAGTTAGTGGTTACTTGAAATCATTGGTTTAGTGAATAATGCGTTGATTTTTGAATCTAAAATTACTGGGTTTGAGATCAAGTGTGAATATTAACACTGGAATGAAGGTACATCCAGCTGTAGGTTCTTTAAATGTAATGAAATGTACATGTTATCCCGCTTATTGTTTATGTTATATCCCGATGAGAATAATGAATGGTAACTTTTGGAATTCATTTATGGACCAATACTATACGTATATTTTTATCGTAACAAAGAAGGGAACAGATAACTTGTTGGAATATCTAGATGGAAGGAACAAGTAGCCCAGATATTCAAACAGACCACCTTTTCCATCCATATGCATGTTGATAATAGTAGATATAGTCACATTACATTGCAATATTTATGAATTTCATTACATACTTGCTATATCCCGATGAGAATAATGAATGGTAACTTTTGGGACCCATTTATGGACCAATACTATAAGTATACTTTTGCCGTATAATTGTTAATTAACTAAACTATTCATATTCGTGTTCCTCTTATCATAAGCTTTATTTGATCTATGAACTATTATTATACGATTTATCATTCTTCAGATATGCCTTGTTTATTAGTCACTGCCTCCCACATTCACAGTCACATTTGGCCGAATCTTCTACAAATGTTGTGTTTCTATTTTATGGTATGATGAGGTCTGTCTGGTTGGTATATAGACCGAGTATGTTTGAAATAAATGATTCATAGAGCAGAGGCTGAGATTGGTATTCTGGACTTAACAGGCAAGGCTAGATGAGAAGCAAGACCGATTAAGACTCTAGACTGTCCATACTTATTTTATGAGTGATTGGTCCGATCGATAATTCATTGTTCACTAATTGGTAGTATCATTATATTATACAATTTAATAGAAACTCAGTACACACAAGTTATAACAGTTTACATCTTTAATTTCTTTGTCTATAAACAATTTGTATCACTAAGATATTGTTTGTTTTGTTTTGTTTGTTTTCTTTTAACATAAAGTGACGTATTCGTACTAATTAGGAATAGTGACATTCTGTAATGAATCAAGTGTCCATCAGGCCTAGTAATTCATTTTACAAATTGTATCTAAATCAAAAACAGAAACAAAACAATGTTAATTTAAGCTTGAAATCTTTTTTGTTAAAAAAAAAGTGTACTTTATTTACCAGGAATAAACAATTAGAAAAACAATCGATATAGATGTCTAAATTTATCTTGTGAAATGCCAGAACAAATAATATTGTCATATTTTAATTGATGATAGAATCTGTTAATGTTATAACTTGTAATTGCCGATTAGAGGGTAGTGAATTATCGATCGGACTAAGGACGCGTAAAACACGTACGAGCAGCCTAGAGTTCTGATTGGTCTTGCTTTTCGTCTAGCCCAACCAGTTAAGTCTAGAATACTAGTCACAGCTTCTGCAACATCAATCATTTATTTCAAACATACTGAGTTCATATACTAATCAGACAGAACACATGATACCATAAAATAGAAAACAACATTTATACAAGATTTAGCTCAAAGTGGTTGTGAATGTGGGAGATAGTAATTGATAGACTGAGTATGACTCAAGAATGGTAAATCGTATAATAATAGTTCATAGGTCAAACTAAAGCTCATAATAATAGGAACACGAATATGAATAGTTTAGTTAATTAATAATTATACTACAAAAATATGCTCATAGTATTGGTCCATAAATACATCCCGAAAAATTATCACTCATTATTCTTATCAGGACACAACAGTTAATTATTTGATTGTATTAACTTTTAAATTGTATCCAATAGAGAAGAAAAGAAAAAGGTAAAATTCCATCATCATCCAGATTTGTCTGGATTGGTACTTTGATATATTTTACTCCAACTCATGAAATAGATACAACTTACCATATAATTTTTTTGATAAGTGTTCTGGTGGAGGAAGTTTAGGCTTGAAAGTCGATGTAGGAAGGATAATAGGAATTGAAGAGGGAGGTTGATTATGAATACAGTGGTCTGGAGTGCTGTTAGAGATATGAGGGCGGTCATCACTTCCCGGTTGCTCACATCGTGGAAGGGTTCTTCTAGAGGTACCTGAAAAAAAATTGAGCTGGAGTTAATCTTAGTGATCTGAGAGCGTGACCGCAGTGCCCAAGGGACAACTGCTTGAGATCGGTCACACACGACCTGTTTGTGGGTATTTCTGTGTTAGCTGCGTACTTGTTGAGACCTTACGGCCGGAGAATGAAATCCGTGGAATAAGATGAGTTGTGCATTTTAAGGGTCAACCTTTTCTAATCCCATTCTTCCATTGTGGGAAGGCAGCATCGTTTTTATGCTGGTTGTCTGAGGGAAACCCCCTACTGCCGTCACACTTTTGTACAGTTAGTAGCACGACTTCACCTTCGGACCTTGGGTTTACTGGTCTTATGAACTGGATTCCATTTGTAGCGAGTGAGTTGCCCTTACCATCCTTAACCGCGAAAATTACCTCTATGATCATATTGATTACTGGCGGGTGACTGGCCAGCACTTTAGGCTTTGACGATTTAGGCTTCTTTACTGGGACAGCCATTGAAGAATTTTGGCAGTTAAGAATCGTAAGGGCAGCTCACTCGCTACTATCAAGAAATACATAACCGTGAATTACAAGTTTGCTGGATTTCATTGCTAGCTACTATCAAAACTTTGCTTAGAATACATGTGACTGTATGG